AACATACTCGTATATTGTGGCTTACATATGCCACAAATCGACTCTAGCAGGTCCCACACAGTTCAACATTTCTCGTAGAGAATACAAACAGGATCTTGTTGGATACGTAACTACGACCCTTGCCGAAACGTCGATCTACAACGCAGCACCGTACCCAATATAATCAAATGTAGTTTTCGCTTTCAGTGACACATACTTTTAATATAAAAAAAAAGTACAACAAAAATTTGCCTAGCAATAAAACAGCTTTCAGGCAAAGTTTTTGCCCTCCGTGAAACACAATAACTTCATAAAAATAGGGTCGACCTTCAAATACTCCAAGGCCAGGGTACTTGTTAATTTTGATACAGTAACTGAAAAATATAAACAGATAAAATAAACAAGTATTTAACCTATTAAGCGCTTTGTTTATCTTTTATAATCTACTGGGATTTGAAAAGAAGAAAACTGTGTAGTGGCGTGACTCTTCCAATAGATAACCATTATTTTTCCCTAGTGGCTCTTCAGCCGCTAAGATTCTTGCACGCTCTCTTTCCACAAGACGACAGCCTACGTCATATTTACACAGTTCAAACCGTTGATGACTACCAAGAAAAACAGTTGCTGGATCAAAGTGTACGATGAACACAATTCGCCTGAAAGTGTATCAAAGTGATATTTACAATTTATATTCGTTAGGACTTTAGGTTAAAATATATTTTAATAATTAAATCATTTTTTAAGTCAGCGTAGCCTAACTTTAAGTACGCGAGTACTCAAACAATATTGGCATTATTTTGAAAGGTTGATAATTAAGTTTTTTTTTTTAACTTTCGTACCAAAAATTCAGTCCTATTTCGAAAAATGTCCCTTTTCAGATTTAAGCACGCAAATCAAACTCCAAAATGTGAAGAAAAAGTTCAGTTCGAGATAAAAAAAATACTGGGTGACAATACTGAACCGTTCGTAATGATCGCAAGACTTGCTTAACGGAGTTACGTAAGTCGTAATCCATTAAAGGAATTTCAGTGTGCGATTGTGGGATTGACTTGATGGCCTCGATGATCACTTACCACCGTAACTTCCGGCAAGTATCAGGCGTTCAGACATTCTTCTCCGTGCACTTGCGCCCCCCCCCCCCACCCCAACGAAATTCATTGATCCCATTAACAATGGCATTAGTTTCTGATGCATTTTAACTAGATGATAAATGCTGTAAAATAGGGGTTCAGTATTTATAATTCGTCATCAGATTCTACACAAACTAGCAGTAGTCGAGTACCGTGGCAACAATTTAAACGCAAACCACAAACTGAGTTTATGTAAATTTTACAAAGTTTTAACATTATTCAGCCCTTATTCGTGGGGGGGGGGGGGGGGGGGGTACGGGTAGAGGAGGGTGGTTGAAAGAGATGATATCTTTTAAAATGTCGATGTCTTGTTGTCGGACCACTGGTCTATTCCTAATTTTGAGACAAATTATTTTATCTTTAAATCCGAAATTCCAGGCCAGTTGTAAGTGGACTGAAAAATCTAAGAAGAATTTATTAAATCTGAGCTCTTTGAATATTTAGTTTGTGAGAAAAAAAATAGATGATTGAATAACACATTTTGATTCCGTAGTTTATTCCTCGAACAATTGCCAGACTATAACGGACAATGCCTTTAATGATAGCAATTGTCAGAGAATTTCATTTTAATGATCCCTGGGCATACGATTACTGAATCAGGAACATCCATTAGTGGTTTTGTTTAAATGGTTGAATTATATGTTTAAATTTGTGTTTTTCGTATATTTTTGAACGGCTACAACAAGACACCTATTAGAAAAATATATTCTTGGCTAGCTGTTCACAGAATCCGTATCTAAAGGCTATGAACCTCTTCCAAAGCATCAAAGCTTAGTTGAAGACGTCAAGATTTACGGTGGCTTGTACGGCTCTTCACGCAAGGTAAGGTACCAACTAAATGAAAGCGGTACGTGCGCCCATGAAGGTTGATTTGGAATTTACATACGGGTCGTGATGTTTGCCAAGGTACATCTAATACTTACCAGCGTTAACTTGACAAACGTTTCTCGCAAAGACAAAATAAGTAAAAAAAAGCGAAACGAAATATCCATTGGAGAGAAACATAAATGATTAAGTTTAGGATTTTTTTTGTTTAAGTTCACACTAGGATGAAAGGCTGTATGTGAGAAATTGTATATTATTAGAAATGTGATGAAGTTAACTGTTTATTGTAATGTTTAACAACTTGAGAAATAGAGTCAACATATTAACAAAACGTCTACAAACAGTTGTTACAACTCATTCGGATTAGGAAAAGTAACCATAATTACATGTAAGTTAATTTAAAATATTCTGTTGTCGCCAATATGGAATCTTGTTTAATTTTTTGGATTAGTTTATCAGATTTTGTCCTAATTTTAGACCTAAATAAAGTATATTCTTCAATTAACAACGTTATTATGTCGAACACGGAACTCAAAATTTGGCATTATTTAAGAGCTAAATCTGCCTATTGACGCGCTTAACTCCATAGGTTTAGATTTTTTACACCTCCGTTGAGATTATGTACCCCCTCTCAAATGGAAAAGAGATGAAATAGGGTTTAACGTCCTACTGTTCTGCTCCGAACTGGGCTAATGAAAACGGGCATACGCCATACAGTGTGCTATGAGGGAAATTTTGCCCGGACAGCGGCACTACGGCCTACTCTTATATTGAATTCCAACTGTCAATGTGTACACGGGACCTTGGTTTTTCGACCCATCCGAACGACTAGGCAGCTGCCCTCCGTCCTGCATTACTAACAAGGAGGACCCCGCCGGAAAATCTGGATGAACTTTCTCGGCCAATGCAAGGATCGACCACCAGGCTAGCGAGCCAGCAGAAGTCGGGTGTTCGATCCCTGCATTGGAAAAACATAAGGTGGTTTCAGTACGTTTTCAACGCTTCTGACAGATTATGATGTTGAACCAGTGTCAGACATTCATCATTGCTCAATTATACTACAAAATGGACTCTAGCGTGTTCTATACGGCCCAAAAGATCTCCCCCCCCCCTCCACATCTTAAAGATGCGAATATTGTGTATTTGTGCCCTCACGGAAACTTGTTCCTCGTGCAAAACGAGCTGTCGCGGAACCGTTGGGACATTTTACAGATCTGCCCCCCCACCTCCACATACACATCTGCATTTACTCTGGTAGGTCATTAGGGGCGTTAGGACTTAGGGCTCGGGACATAACTTCTCGCATAAATCTTTGATAAACCCTAAATATGAGTCTTCATATGTATTTATAGCCAATCTGATTAAAAACGTACTGTATCTACCCATAGCAAGATGATCGCTAGTATACTATTTGAATGGCATTTAGTAATTAACACATTAAGATAAACAATTACTATCGCTATTCTCAGTCTGTCACCTATGCTGAAATTCATGGTCAATTAATGTCGTCGACACCTTGCAGGTCGACTCTCAAAAATGTTTAGTGGACACTTAAGGAGTTGAGAAAAAATGCATTCAGGTATGTCCGGACCAAATCAATATAAAAACCTCAAACACACACTGAATCCTTTAAAAAATAACTGTGCTCACTTGTTCCTGCATTTTCTGGCCAGTGGAAGGATCAGACATTAAGACGACCCCCCTCCCCCCACACAAAACAATCCGCCTACCAAATATAAAGAGGCAATGTTAAGTAAATAGTAACCTTTCAATATGTTAGAGATAAATGTGTAATCAGATGGTTACAACTATAGGGTGCAGTCTTTACATTTAGTATGCAGACCTCAGGTTACATGTATTGGTGAACTTTATCTTCAAGGTGATGACACCGACCAACTTATATTAAAGTAGTTCTAAATGCTATTAAGAGCAAGACACTAATTGCAATGATGAGAGTCATTCGGGTTAAATTGAATTAAGTGCTTGTCGATGAAGCTAGAGATCTGGTCATGGCGGTCCAACCCTTATTTTCTAATTAATGGAATAAGACTGATGAAATCCGAGGTAATCATTCTGCGATTAAAGAGGAATTAATATAATGAGCTTGCAACAAGATACACTTTTGTTTATATAGTATGTAGAATAGCCATAAACTATCCTATCCAGATGCATGCCTTCTTAGTAAAGTATATGACATGAGCATTCGTTAAAATCCTGGGAAACCATTAAAATATAAAACATCAGCTGTGTGTCAATATTGATGTGGAAGATTTTTCTCTTATTTGCGTCTTATCTAAACATCTCACGATTTAACCCCAAAACAAATCACGTTAAAGGCGCCTTCCCACGTACAAACTGGATAATTTGATGATATACTTTTACTAAAAACATATTCAAACTAATTAATCTATCACAAACTTACTTCAAATCTCCCTCAAAACATTGTATTCACGGAGAAATATCCCAAGATATAAAAATCTATTTTTTTAAGCCTTGTTTGTCATGTAACTTGATTGGGGGAAGGCCCATTTTCAGAATGTATTTGTCGTTACTTACTGTCCATTTGCCATAAATACTTTCTTGAGAATTTATCTTTAAGTGAAACATGATCTCTTAGCGACCTACGAAGATTTCCGTATAGTTCTAGTGCCAAATTATTGGCAGTCGATCTGTTTCATTTTTAAAAAAAAAAAATGTCTCTACCCCGCCTCGTGGCACCTATCACAGATTACTGTCCATGTAAGGGGTTTACCAGTCAAATCCACAAGAAGATACTAACCGTTTTAATTCCTTTTTTTGATGTGATAAAATATAAAACATACATGGATGTCATCGCAGCGCATAGAAGAGAATCGGGAGAAATAGATGTACACGTAGTACGTAGTGTATATATGTAAAATATTTAGAATAGTAGACAGTCAAAAGTTTATCTGTAAAGCTGTTGAGTTTGGTCATGAAGTTGTGAAAATATCGCAAGTGTTTGAGGATTTGAGTACAGGGTGTTAAGAAAATAGTAGCTGACATACCACCCTCTTACAGTTAAAATATGTTAAGGTGTTAAGTTATCGTGGATTTACAGTCTTAGAAAGTAAACGAAAAGTTGAACACAAGATAGTCTGGGGATTCGCCTCAATACAGCGAAAAGGCTTCTGGATTTAATTGGAGGGGAGGAAACCCACTAGACTATTATAGAAACGTTTGGGTATCTAATTAGATCCTTTTTATCGATGACTTTATGTAACAGCCTATAGTTATTAGTAATTTCAATCTTTGACTTTGTGAGGTATTTCTTATTTATTCGCATATCGTCTATTTTTACGGATAACCGCGACATTTATATCAAAATTCAAGTGCATCTTATTCTTTCTTAATCCAGTAAAACGCCTTATAAAATTTAAAATTATATATTGGTGCGTGTAAAATATATATATATATGTATTATAAAAAAAACTAGAGGTTTGTCTGTTTAGGGATATCTTTAAAGCTTAAATTTTATTTCCTATAGGAAATAATTTGGAGTTTAATTGACCTCAACCCCTGTTACTGCATGATACTGTTTACCATTTCCTTGAAATTACTAACGCGATTATATTTCAAGGATAGCTATTTTATTCTTTACAAAAATGTATGGATTGATGAAAACAATTAGACACTAACGTCAGGCACTGCTTTGATATTTTCAGTACGTTGCAATAATGGATGTTCTTCTTTTTTGGAGAATTATTTTTGCAGTGTTTTTCTATTATTTTATCTGTTTCAGCGAGTTAGTTCGTACAACCAGGTTGCAGAAGATATGGCCAGTGGTACTGGCCACAATATAAGATGGCTGGTAAGTATTGGAATTTAAATTATCATAACTTGTCCAGATGATAATTGGTATCGCAGTTTTGCTCGGTTCCAGTTTTGCTATCAAAAAAAATCAGTTATGTATTTTTTGGTCTTGAATATACGTCGTTTTTCATGAATTGCCGCACGTTAAATTTGTGCTTAAGCTAGAAAGACCAGGATATTCTCTAGAATACACCATTTACCGTCAGTTTTAGCAACTCAAACTTTTGTATTATTAGTATAAATCTTTGTTTATTTATCTGCATATTTTTTTTTCTTTTTACTAGTATGTCTATTTTTCTGTAGGTCTTCTGATATGTCAAGGATGAGGTCGCTATTTGTACGGCAGCACTCGTGGGCTGAGGTTGCCCGATTACACATTGTCATGTACGTGTCGGAATTCGGAAACGAGTAGGTGGAAATGCTGCTGCACGGGCCAAATTCTCCTCATATGTTTCATTGTTCATATGTGTATCTTGTTCACTACAAAAGTTACAGTCCATTCACTTTATTATTGATATATATTCCTTCACTTAGATTTATTTTTTATAATGTAATATTGCAGTCGGCCGTATCAGTGTGGTTATTTCTAGCTATGATTGGTGTTCTTGTATCAGCTAAAGTTTCACTGCTCTGGTTACTCAGACTTTTTAAATATGAACAGATTCATCCTGCAACATGGTAAGTTTATAAAACAATCGAACAGTATTGGTTCTTCGATTCTTCGAGTATATATTTATAGTATAATGGGTAATTGTGGTAGCCATAAACTCCATAGCCAAATATTGATTTTAAATAGAAAAGACATTTTTTTTTGAGAGAGAATGAAATCGTAGCACGGCCGGATCCTTCAAATTCCAGCGACCTACTCTTTCAACAATGACTACTTTTAAGTATGTTTTATCAATTAACATTGTAGGTATCTGATTGTCTGTATACTATTAGTACTACCACACCTGTGTAATTTGTTTTACATCATGTGGAATACACCATTTATCAGCTCAGCTAGAAAAGAAGAATTGCCCAGAGCACCACGGTTATTTATGGTAAGATCTAAATTTTAACGTCTTTACATAATGCTGTTTTGTCCATAACAGATATTGTAAATTATGTGGACAACGGGCGTATTAACGATATCAGTACTGGAATGCATGGATATTTGTGTCTGAACGAGGAACGTATTTATAAAATCTGTATTTATCAAATGAGTAATGTATTTCTATTATACAGGGTTTGATTGGGAGCATAATGGAAGGAATGTCCATCGCTATCTTTGCCGGAGAAATTTGTTTGGTGTTACCAGAACCCATATTTCTGTGTCTGCCAGCAGCTGTTTACACCATTCCTCTAATCATCAGCACCTGCAAGAATCTAAGAGTCAGTAAAACATTTTTTTTTGTTATCCCTGGGCACAGATATTAGTTCATATAAAACATTTTATTTCTAAAAAGGAGAACATGTGCCGTTTTTATTTACCAATACAGTTTTATTAGGCATGACAGTTTACATTTGTACACATTGTAGCATATTCTTTTTTTTACTAATAGACAATTTTTATATCTTAGGCAAATTCTAAACTAAAAGTCAAGCCAGCTAAGACCTCTTGTGCAACTATCAAACAGTGTGTGGGAATATTTTTCTGTAGCTTCAACATGTGGGCACCTTCCGCGATTTCTGTCATTATTTACATCTGGTCACCATTTAACATGAGTCTGCAGCAGTGTATTTCTCTACCCATCGTTCTTATGGTTCTCTCTACTGTCTGGACACCCAAAATACAGAAACTAACCGTCTGTTCTTCCAGGCATTCTAAGCGTAACCTGGTTGCATCTCTTAGTTACACTGTAATCAAGATTTGTACGATTCCAGCAACACTAGTGGGTCTCATGGCATGGAGAATAAAGGATTTCAGAGCGAATATGGGAGATTACCTTATAACTGGATTATCTGGATCGGGTGATTATCGGATCTGGTTGCCGGTTGTAATTACCTTCATGTGTGGTATAGTTGCGCTGCTGTTGACGGATGCCGCATGTAAAGTATCCTTAACAACTCCTGGTGTACGACTTCCAGCTTTGTTAACACCTATAGTGACATTTTGTGTAACAATTATTCTTTGGGGTGATGTCTCAACGGAAGCTATTTGGGAATTATCCGGTAGAGATTTTGTTACATGGTCCGCTTCAGCTCTAGCTATATGTATTTGGCTGGTTCCATTTGCAATTCCTGGAGTAGATATCATCAAAGCACCAACTGCCCTGTTGAGGCCTTTTGCTGAAAACTTTTATCACTTTAGTTGGAGTCAAATGTTTCTTGAGCAGTCATTGATACTGAACTTCAATCATAAAGGAATTGGGTCGTCGTCATCTGGTTTGGATACCGTGATCCAAAAGTCTGAAAGTAAAAGAGTTTTTATTTGTACCACCATGTTCAGAGAAAGTAAGGCTGAAATGTCCAGATACCTATTGAGCTTACAAAAGCTGCTCTCTTCTGATAAATTAATCGACATTAAGGTTGAATCTCATATTTTTCTGGATAATGCCATGGATAACGATAGTCTCAATACATACGCCTGTCAGCTTCTCACACTCCTCGTAGACACCTTTAACGTGACCCTATCCAGCTTAGTGGCCTACAGGACACCATACGGCTGCCAGATTCTATCACATCCCAACAAAAATTTTCCAGTCTACGTTCACGTAAAAGACGGGTCCAAATTCAAGGTGAAGAAGCGATGGAGTCAAGTGATGTACATGAATTATATTCTGAAATATCGCTGTTCCTTTGATGTTGACAAATTTGAGCAAGAGAAAAACGATGAAGATAAATATCCCGTCGATAGTAATAAAAACGCAGCTGTGAGACTTATTAAAAAGACGTCGTTAAGTGGCCAATTTTTTGTTCAAACTGAACCCAACAGCCCTAGCCAGCCAGATCAGATTGTTGTGACCACCACAGAGGATACTTTTGATGACACTGGAAGCGAAGGTTCATCTGCCAGTGGTTCTGATGCCTACACCGTATCCAGAGAAAGTAACGCGTCTTGTCACACAAGTGAAGGTACAGACAGTGATGATTCTGACCTTTTCCTCTTCAGAACATATCCAGGTCGTGGAAAGAACACACTATCCGTACCAGGAACACGAGGAGTCAAGAAACAGGTTTTGATGAAGAATGTCCTCGGCGCTGAATTAAACAGCATCCACGATGGAATGGAAAAACACAATCTGGTCTGGGCCAATCGCAAAACTCTGTACCTTCCAGCTTCAGATGAAATTGAACAAATGAATGTAGAAAATGCGGACACCGTATTTACATTGACCGGCAAACCCGTGGACGAACCAGTGTATATATTGGCAACAGACGCGGACACTGAGTTCAGCGCTAAGAGTGTTAGCACGTTAGTGGAGCTTTGTGAACGAGATCATTCCCTTGGTGCTGCTTGCGGTAGAACAATTCCAATCGGACGACAGAGGCCTATGGTATGGTACCAAAAATTCGAATACGCTAAAGGTAATGCCTACATATACATATTGATAAATAAAACATTGTAGAGCGCTAAGGATTATTATGGGTGAAAAATGAAATGGAAATAAAATGAAATGGGGTTTAACGTCCTACTGTTCTGCTCCGACTGGGCTAATGAAGACGGGCATACGCCATACAATGTGCTGTGAGGGACATCTTGCCCGGGCAGGGTCACTATGGATTACTCTCATATCGAATTCCAACTGCCAAGGGATATTTTACGTACAAGTCAATGTCCGAACGACTAGACATCTGTCCTTGTCAGGCCCTCCTTCCTGCACCACTGACAAGGGGAAACCCACGTTGGAAAATCCCGATGAACTCTCTCGGCCTATGCAAGGATCGAACACGCGACCTCCAGGCTAGCGAGCCAGCGTCCTACCCACTTAGCCACCGTGGCACCGCATTCGTGAAAAAATGCCTAAAATAATATGACGGACAAAAAGTGCTCTCTGATAAATGTAGATGTAGAATCTAATCTTCCGAAAACACAACAGTACATGTAGATAGTCCGTTTGATTACGTCGAGACTAGAAAATTGGATTTATCATCTATCTCATTTGTTGAGATGATCTGAGATTCGGGAAATGGTTTTGTGTATTAAATTAAGAAATGCGGTCCTTAAATTGACACTGACATAAAGCTTTTAAAATGTTTATTTTTCTTCTTCAGATTTTTGGTTAGTTAAAGCGTCACAAAATATTATTGGTTCGGTTACATGTTGTCCAGGTTGCTTCAGTTTGTATCGAGCTCGAGCTCTAGCAGATGTTTTGAATACTTTCCAAGAACCCAGTAACTCAGCTTTTGATGCTCTCGTTAAAGACCATGGTAATATACTCCTAAAATCATTCTCAAAACAAAATCTTATTTTTTGAAGCACTACCCCGACTCTTCTTCAACATCGGTGAAGAAGTTATTTTATTAACCGTTTGTTTATTTGAGTTATATACGTATCATAATCTATATTGATAAAAAATATAATGCCCTGTTTCTTATCTCAAAACGAATAACCACTGATACACATACACATAAGATATCCATGTATATATTTTTATTACCAGGTGAAGATCGTTGGTTGTGTACACTGATGATGTTACGAGGATGGAAACTAGAATACATTGATCACTGTCGAAACTCGACTCACTGTCCAGAAACATTCATGGAATTCCTTGGACAAAGACGACGATGGGTTCTCTCAGAATTATCCAATATGGTACTAATCTTCAAAAATTTGAGGAAACTTGTTCGAAGCAATATGGCATTTTCTTCTGTTTTTATCCTCTCTCTGCTGCAGATGTTTTTATGGGTTCTGATATCGCCTTCAACGACTCTTCTGGTCATGTTTGTTGCTTGTGATGCTATTTTTGGTCTGCCTTTGGTTTGGTCTGTACCAATATCCTTTATTGTTTTTGTTGCTTATTGTGTGCTGTGCTGTATTGGGTCTCCGAGGATACAGAAAATAGCAACAGGGGCGATGTTATGTCTTTCTGTCATTTTAATGATAACAGTCAGTGTGGGTTTTGTCTACTTTATGGCGATGAGTATTAAAGAAGGTATGTTCGATGCTTTCTGTTTGTAAAGGATAATTTCTAATAACGATATTTAAATATTATGGTTAATAATTTTCTTCCCCTTATTATACTCGATGCAGTCGTATGGTTAGGACATTTGATTTAAGAGCATTTCCGGGGTTTCAAAGCCACATTATCTAGTTACCTGGGCAGTACGCAAATCTGAGGTCCAGTGTGCACTTTGACAATGCATATAAATGACCCCTGTGCAATATTCCCGCCTCTTTCGTTTACACGTTTAAGCTGTGACTTAGGATACTCGGAGATATTCGTCGTATTTATGACAATACAGAGAGTTAAATATGGTGGATATATTTTCAGATGTTCGTGATGGCTATATTGAATTCCGACCTTACTTTTTGATACCGTTGTTGATAGGAGGAGTAGTCTACGCTGCTCTCATCCATCCTGGTGAATGGTTAAATCTGATTTATGGCTTGATGTACGCTTTTCTCTTTCCTGCCATGTTTATCATTCTACCTATCTATGCTGTGGCTAATATTGTGGATCAGTCCTGGGGAACACGAGAACTGGTAAGTGATCTCTGGTGGTAAATCATGAGCTGTAGGTCAATGTACTCAATAGTCAAATGTGTGACTAAAATGATTTACGATTGTGAATGAGTTTCGCATTAACTATGTTGTTTGGATTAAATTAGATTTGTTTTGTTATTGTTATTTATTTCCTCAAACAATCTGTGCAATCAATAATTCGCAAGGGTTTAAAGGTGAGCTGAAACCTTAGAAACCAACTCGCCGACTTTATTCGTCAGGAGCGGATCTAAGAATTTTGAAAAGGGGGGGGGGGGCGCCGCAAAATGAGGGCATTGACCGCGGACACGGGGCACGCCATTCCAAGAGCTATTTGGCTGATATTTTCGTCTAAGTTAGTCAGTAAACATTCGGAAATCGTTGAAAAAGAGGCTTAAAATCGAGCAAAAAAGCCAGTTGAACAATGCTACACGAAAAGTGTCAAGGCGAGCGAGTTATTGTTAAAATGTTATATTTCACTCCTTAAATACGGAATATATAAAGTTGGTACATGATGGGGAAAAAAAAGACGAATCTATTCCCTAGCCACTTCACTTGGCTAGTAACTTGTACTGTGTATACTGTCCACACATGAAACAATACTACATCAAGTTGCACTCATGCGCGTCAGTGATGGGCATGAGTGTATACGCCGCCGATTCCACAAGATGCTATCATTGATGTCTATCTATAGTCACTCTATAGGATTATGGCACCGTCAGCTAAACTACAAGAATTCGTTTGAAAGTGGAAACATTAATTAGACCAGACTGGTGTGTTTGAGTCGATGGTTTGAGTCATTTCATTTGGGATCCCTGCAACGGGTTGGGAACGGATATATTCGGGTCTGAGAAAAGGCACTTTCAGCAGTAAAAAAGGCCACTGTTCGTTGCCACGTAAAAAACACAGATCGAACCCGTAACTTGCCGCCAGACAACAAACATAGTTATTAACTATCGTGCCTAAAATTTAATATATGTGGTGGTTTCTGATAAATAAATAAATAAATAAATAAATAAATATGTATTGGTTTTTTTTTGTCAACATTGCCTTTTAATTGTTTATCTCCAGCCAAAGAAATCAGAGAAACCCAATAAAAAGAACAACTTCAATAGTATTGAAGAGCTGGGTGAGTTACTCTTAACGATATTGGTTATATAAGAGGCCATTGGTATTTAATGGATGATAATTTCCTTTAAGGCACAACAAGCTAGATCGTTTAGATAATCCTAAAAGTCAAAACTATAGTTTAATGTAAAAATACTGTTGTTGTTATGTAATTAAGCAAGCACGCCCCGGTTCATGAATGGAGTGGGATGTACTTAGGCAGTAGAATTATTATTACTCTGTTTGTCTAAGACAGATACAAATGCCAGTTATGTCATAGATAAATCCATAGGGTTAGGGTTGAAATTGAAAAGTGTTTCACGCATAAACAGTCATATGTCGAATAATTTTAATCAGATTTTTGTGGAATCGGAGTAAAGTGTATATTATAATAAACACAGCTTCAAGTATATACCATTTTTATATGGTCATTTTATGTTTTCTTTAAAATGGTCATAACCTAAATTAGAATTAGTCGATGTGAATATTTTTTATGATATAAATGTTTTTAATAAAGTATGGTTTTAAACTCTATTCTTAAACTTTATTCTGGCATACTGGGGCTATAATAGATCGCAAACTTCGTATAAGGCTTGACTTAACAATAATTGTAATGGACAGTTCAGAAATCATCCACTGTTTATTTTGTAGGAATTTCTTTTAAAGGCCTAAATTTGAATGTTGTGGTGATTATACGGGAATTGACTTCGGTGTTTTGTTGTCTAAGTACATTTAGATTGGAAATGATTTGGCATATCGGTGGTGTTGAAATTAGATTATATGCCCAAGTAGAAGAATATATAGATGTTTATACCTCGAATTACAAGTTCTACATAATTTTTTGGTAGTTTTCGAAGAAGTGAACATCTTTGTTAAGTACTATAAATGTATTTTAAATATGACATTGTTCTAAATTTAATACATTAATTAATACATGAATATTTCAGTTGATGATAACGGGGAGAGCGATGTAACGATAATTAGACCCAAAAATCTTCAAACTATGGCAGAAACTGGCTCTACTGAATTGAAGGAAGAAAGTCTTTTTTGGGAGAAACTACAGAACACCGTTCTCGGTACTGACGTAAACCAAGGCAAGGATAAGGAAACGTTGCAGCGTCGTCTTTTCGTTTTACGTAATCGATGTGTTTTTGCAATGGTTCTTCTAAACACATTTTGGTTTTCGATATTAACCACAATTTATGTGTTAATAGACACTGATGTTATTTGCTATATTTTGGCGGGAATTTTTAGTTTTTCGCTTCTGGTACAACTTGTTGGTATGACATCATACAGATTGGACAATGCTTTAAGACGTTATGTTTTAAGAAAACTTTGTTCGTCACAACCAACGTGGATAAAAGCAAGACACTGAAGGGAGTCGTGCTTACAAAAACAATTTGGTGTCTCTAACTTTCATTTTGATTCGTTTCAAAATGGATCCATCTAAATGGTGGAAAAGTGCGTTGAACGTAACGTATGCGTAAACGCACAGAATGGTGATGATGAAGTCTCAGACTGGGCAATCAAAACTGTGATTAGGGAGTGACGTGTTGTGATTCTATACGTGTAGTTTAGAGAAAATATTACACAACTTGAATGTTTTTAGTTCTATGAATGGCTAGCTTGTGGATTTTGATAGAAAGAAAAATAAGCTGTCTCCTGGAAGATTAAGATAAATTCGTCAAAAATAATGTATATCTAGTCTATAATATATTAATTTAATTTCTTGTAAATGTCGTACTCCTTACTTAATATTTAAGAGTAGCCTGGCTCCATAAATAGAAATGTCTTCCAGACTTATATTATTATGGGTCAAATATAGATCACATTTTAGCTGCACATTAATAATGTAACGTTCCGGGTCATTTTAGCTTAAGTAAAACCAGTGACATAAATATCGTTAGGCCAATACACAACGGCGCTTTAGGGTGGTTTTGCCGATAGCGCGAGTCGCGATTTTCATTTGGTCGACTACATAAAGGCAATATAGCAATGGCGACTGGTCATTTTTCAGTCCTGGTCCACTAGAAAATGAACAAGAAAATGAAAAATGACGCGCAAATAACTGGCCACGTGACACTTATGAGGAAGGTCTAGTGCAAATGACAAAACAAATAAATATGAAAATATCTGCCACAAAATTCCACCGCTGGCGATCTTGTTGGCTGCGTGATGCCGCTTGCTGTATTGTTCACACATGGTTCTTCCACCAGTGCCTTCTTGCCTTGGGGTTATATGTCAAATTTAATAGTTAAATTACATGCATAATTGGCCATCTATGACTTACAAAATAACTACTGTTAAAAATGGATGGAATTAAAAGTTAGAAGCCGTGTTAGTAAACTTTACACCACATAGCTAATATTTTTAAAATGTAACGCTTTGCAAGTGTGACCCAAATGAAAGAGCTACACCCAACAGGTGTTTACAACCGCCGATTTCATGACTACTGAACTACTGAATAGTTGTAATTGTAGACGTTACAGGGTGTTTTGGGTGAACTACACCCCTATCAAATGGTGTAATTAGTATTGGGGAATAAATCCTAAACCATAGTGTCAATATTACATCGTTTACTGGGTTGCAAAAGTGTAATCCGTATGCACAACTACTGAACACCTCAATGGGTGTAATTGTAGTCGTTAATGGTTGTTTTGGGTGAGCTATCCCCCCCCCCCACCTCTCCAGGGGTGTATACTGCATTTACATCAACAGGTGTAATTATTATTAGGGAAGTATTCCTCTTAATAAGACGGTGTCGATTTTACACCGTAGGTTGAGTCGCAATAGTCTTTGTATACTGCAGTTTGGGTGTTTTTGTAAAATATGGCATTAACGACATCAGTAACACAGGTATAACTAGTTTTCAAGTGTTTTACTCTTAAAGAATACAAGTCTTCCAAAATATTATCATGTATTATAATCTAAATTTCTTTTCTTTTTCGCGTGTAAATTTGTAAAATGTTCCATAATATTACCGCGTAATATATCTTAATTAATTATTCTTAATCGGTATGACCACATTATTCACTATGTCGTAATGATATGTGTATTGATTTTTCATCAAGATTTATATTCATTGTAAATTTATACAGATTGTCTAATTGGTGAACATCAGATACATTTGAATCAGTCTGGTGGATATTTGTAAATTTAGAGTCGTTTTCAAATAATTCGAATTGTTTTCAATAAAAAAAATACACCAGCATGGGCGTAATAATTAATATGGAAGTGTTAATTATAATACACATGTATTGAGGTGTAAACTATTTAAGTGTATAATTACGCTGCTTGAGTGAAACGTGGTGTATTAGTTTACACCACTAAATGTGAGACGTTACACTACTAGTTGCCACCTGAATTAAGTGTAATGTTATATACTATTTTGAATGTAACACTCCTCCCAATAAGGTGTTATCGGTTTACACTATTACAGGTTTGGAGTTACCCTATTTTAGGTGGCAACTAGTTGCCATCGGCATGGTGTAAACTACCTTATTATTTTTAAGTGTAGGCTACATAATATACTTCCGAAAGCGAGCTTTATATAACATATAGTGGTTAATTGGTGGCACTGCACAATATAAATCTTTCAACTATTTTCCAATGTTCACGTGGTTGCTTTTATTTGTATATTTTACTATCCTTTATAATAATAGCGTATGTAAATTTGTATATATATAACTATGTATAACATAAACACAGATTGTTATTAGTAGATTAATAATATAACAGTTAAAAAAGTTTCCATTTTTTGTTTGTTGTAGTAATTCTTGTTATTGTTTTTATAAACGAACTTTCCCCAATTAATAACACGTTTTACTATGGTGGCTGATTGGTATCATGTCGTGATGTCGTGGTGTCGCCCTTCATAAGGCGACAACCCGACATCACGACATTATAACCCGACACCACGACAACTCGACATCACGACATTTTTAACCCGACACTACGACATTTTCACCCGACACCACGACATTAAGAATGTCGAATTGTCGCGTAAAAATGTCGTATTGTCGCGTAAAGATGTCGGGTTGTCGTGATGTCGGGTTGTCGACTTTATTTATCAATGTTGAAGCGGCCATGAATAATAGAGTGCTGTCCCTTGCCGAGATCAAGTCAGCCCTCACTATCTCATCCTTCACTAAGAATACTTACCCTTCACTAACTGAAGGGGCGGGGGGGTCGAATAGCCGAATGGTTAGCACGTGCGCGCTGCGCTGTATCATACGGTGGCGGGGTTTCGAATCCCCGGTTGTACGTGACAAGGAGTAGGGTCACCTGTCCAACCTCGTGGGTTTTCTCCGGGTCCTCCGGTTTCCTCCCACTGCTAAAGACCCCTACGCGCAAGCGAATTATTGAAATAAAATTGAACCATGTGTTAGTCCCGAAATGACCTAGTTTGTGTCGAGTGGACGTTGAACCCATCTCTCTCTCTCTCTCTCTCTCTCTCTCTCTCTCACACACACACACACTAACTGCGAATCAAGCTGGCCCTAACTACCAAATTCGCTGGATGACCATGACTTGAGCGTATCCACTCGACACAAAATAGGTCATTTCGGGACTAACGTATGGTTTAATTTTATTTCAACAATTTGCTTGCGCGTAGGGGTCTTTAGCAGTGGGGGAATCCGGAGGACCCGGAGAAAACCCCCTTTTCACTTTTCAAGGCAAGTAAATATAAATGTGCCAGAAAATTATTTATATAATTGAAAAGAACAGTGAACGTGCTTTCTACTGATATGTAGCATGATATCTGGAATTTCGTATTAAGACCCGTCATTTGGTAGTGAGGGCCAAAATGTCGTAGTGTCGGGTTTAAAATGTCGTGGTGTCGGGTTATAATGTCGTGATGTCGGGATGTCGCCTTATGAAGGGCGACGCCACGACATCACGACATGATACCAATCAGCGCGGCAGAAAGAGGAACGCCTCAAAATTAATTGTACTGTTAGTGTGATTGAGGAGAACTGTGTCAATTACTAGGACGTATTCACACATAATCTATTTCGAACGCGTCCCCGTAAAGTCAACGAATGACAAAGATAATGTCAGATTCACCAGACGAATGACAAAGTTTACCAGAAGTATAACAAAGTGAATGACACAGGTTCACAAGACGAGTGACAGAGTAGGACACGGGTTCGCCGCAATGTATGTCCGTTCTTCGGGCACAAACATTAGAAAATAAGACCATATAATTGACAAATGAAATCGCTCGCGCTTTACTTTTTGAATACTATAATACGTAAGTGGAGCTTTGTGCAAAATCCGGAAGACAAAGAAAATTTTCGGGCAAATAGCCCCCCCCCCCCCGTACACATTATATGAAGGTTCACCAGACGAATGACAAAGTGAATGATAAGTCACCAGACTGACAAGACTTTGTATGAGAAGAGTTCTGATACTAGCTACGATAACGTAGGTAAAAACGTTGAGATATATAGGCTACTGACGGAAGGTTGAGAGATGAGGTTTCTTATCGGGTGTGATACAGGCTATGGCTGTTCCCTGATCAGTTTCATCCAATTGAAATAAAATATTAATTACCTCAAAAAATACAAATTAAGTTTATAGTTATTAAACCCAATACTGTAGTTAAATTATATTGGCCTAAAGGAAGCAGTTATTGCTTAGAAATTCCTTGTCATTCATCATTCGCTTGTCATTCGTCATGCAAATTCTACGGCCCACGCACTAACTGGGCGGTTCACACAACCGTGAATATGCAGATGGTTATGAGATAGTATAAGACCACAGCGGAGTGGAATAATGGTGACATAATGTCCAGAATCTAGCTACACCACTGCTTACGGGCACTTACTTTTTCTCGCGGGGGAGCTTACTTCTTCATCTGAGGTGCGGTTGGGGGGGGGGGGGGCGTGCCCGCCCATTAAAGCTGAATCAGTGCGCAGGCAGTGGCGTCACCAAACGACGTCATGATGCTAGGCAGATATCAAAAAGCTTAATTTGTTCGATGTTCTAACAATGTGAAGTGTCAATGAAGAGAACAATTTTCTTTTCAATAATAGAAATAACATGAATTCATATGTAAAATAAGAAGCAACATTTTAAAATATTAATTTTTCAATTATAGTCCTACACTGTCTTAAAGGAGCTGATTTAAGTATCTAACTCAATATTTCCCATAATATTATTCGAAATTAAAAACCCGAATCAAAATTCAATATTGATCAATTCCAATCAATATTGATGTTACAACAAAACACATACTTATGGAAAACAGCTACAAGTGTATTTAAGGCGACGTTTCGTAGAGTATTCTCTCAACGTTATCAAGCTAATACAGTAAAACAGGTATGAGGCAAATATAGACAAAATACAACAACATAACCGAAACCATACTTAGCAACAACATGATCAAAGGCCTACACCAACACTTATTAAGATATAAAATAGCAGATAAAACATAAAAACATTTATATGGATATACTACTTCTGAATTTATTAACATGCACATACAGATATCGTTATCAAGCAAATAATGATATGTAACAGTAGTAGTATCCTGGTGTTTAACGTCTGCTTCCACATAAGTGATATCGCAGACAAGAAATAGGAGAGCCGAAGCTGCTTCCTGTTTTTGAATATGATTTTGCAATCTTTCCATTTTCGGCCTTAGGCCATGGATTGGGTTTTGTGGGAAGTTCTTCCCTTTATTTAGTAAAAAACATATCGTTTGGTAGATGTTTTCTTCTGCTTCTGGATTGGTAGATGTCTTCGTTGTGGGATTAGTGTTTAGGTGCCAGGCCCGTCTTATCGTGACCTCCCCTTACTCCACAATCCCACTCTATGGGTTTGGTATCTGTTTCTTTTGCGGGAAAAGTGTTTAGGTCCCGAGTCCGTCTGGCCGTAACTCCCCTATCCTGCTAGTTTGGTAGATGTCATCTTTGTGGGATTAGTGTTTAGGTGCCAGGCCCGTCTTATCGTGACCTCCCCTTACTCCCCTATCCCACTCTGTAGGTTTGATGTCTATTTTTTGCCGGAATAGTGTTTAGATGCCGAGTCCGTCTGATCGTGACTCTCCCTTACTCCACTATCCTGCCAGTTTGGTATAAATCTCCTATGTAGTTTAGTGTTTAGATGCCGATCCCGTCTAACCGTGGCCCCCTCTTGCTTCACTATTCTACTTAGTCCAACTGTGTCCATTAGGGCGTGGATTTGTTCGAAGATTTGCAGTTTCAGATCTGGTCTCAGTGTTGAATGGTATGTTGTTAGTCTCCATCATTCTCACTAGTTCCCTTCTCTCCTCCTTGTATACCTCGCAGTCTACCAGGACATGGTTGGTGATACATTCTTCTCCGCATTCACAGACGATGACTTGGTGGATGTAGTCTCACAGCCGCTCTTTCACCTTTAGTTTCGATTTAATTCTGCATATATCTCTTCTAGGGTGATTGATCGTGTAGATTTTGTCATCCAGTCGGAATCTGTATGTATCAAGTTCAACGAGTTTTAATTCCCAGAATGAATTGACCTGTCTTTTAACCATACTGTAGATTTCCGTGGTGCTGTAGTCTACACGAGCTCTAATTTGCTTCCCTTCTCCAGGACCCTCTGGTACAGCTGCCTGATTTCCAAAATGACTTCTGGTCTTGAGTCCGAGTTGTCATTTTGGATTGAAATCAGACTGCTCAGAGAGTCGCTTCGAATGACGAACTTACTAGTCTTTTGATGGGAGATCCATGATATAGCGTCACGAATGGCCACACGCTCTGCAGTGTACACCGAACAGTTATTGGGCAGTTTCCTGCTTATTCCCTGTTCCCCGTTTGGCAGATATATTCCAAACGAGCTTGTGCCCCTTTCAGGGTTGTGTGAGCCATCCGTGTACACATGGTCCCAGTCATCAGACGGCCAGTTGTCTTCCAGGTGTTCTAGAGAGAAAGCACGTGCAGCAGTGGGGTTGTTTTTCTTGTCGGTTTTCTGTAGTAGATCTAGATTGACCGGCGGTATAGGGAGCGTCCAAGGGGCGATTGCTGGGGGGTCGTGTTCATTTATCACGAGCTCCCCCAGTCGCAGTTCCTTGATTGTTTCCCTGATACCCTGGCCGAAGCTTTTCTTTCTAGGATCTCTCACATATCTTGTCTTTTGTAGACTGACAAAAGTAGGGGATCTTTCGCCCAGTTGCGAGATCTTGGCCCATTACCTTGTCGCTAGTTCTTTTCTTCTTAGGGATAGGGGCAACTCCCCGGCTTCCTGTAGTAATTCCTCTCTCCTAGTCCCAAGCCCTACACCAGTCGCAATGCACAGAGCTTTGTATTGGACGGTGTCAAGCTTACTTAAAGAGTTTTGGAGCGCAGTTCATGAAGGCCAAAGAGCCGTAGTCTAATACAGAGCGTATTAGAGCACGATACACCATCATTAATGTAACTCTATTGGCACCCCACGTGCAACCCGTTATTTTTCTCATTAAGTTTAGGATTTTGGAGCATCCATCTACAGTCAAGTCGATGTGCGGTTTCCAGGTCAGCCTTCGGTCAAAGATTACGCCAAGGAACTTGGTTTGGTCTTTAAACTCGATGGTTTTCCCGTTCATACACAGAGTCATTCTGCTTATCCCACTATCCCTGCTCACGAGCATACCGACCGTTTTCTTCTCTGGGACTTGAAATCCCCAATCGTTTGTTCATGTCATGAATTTGTCTAAGGCCTTTTGCATGTTATTTTGCAGTTCACAAAAGCTCCTCCCTTTCCTCCATATGGTACTGTCATCAGCAAATTTAGCTAAGTCAGTTCTGGCATCGAGGTAGGACGATTTCTTTATGACATTGATCATGATATTGAAGAGGGTGGGACTGATGACCGACCCCTGAGGCGTGCCATTTTCTAATGTTTGCCCGGCACTCCGGAATCTACCAACATTCACCTGTATCCTTCTATCGCTCAGAAAACTTTTGATCCACCGAAACATTATGCCCGTTATACCGATACGTCTAACCAAACCAAATCGAAAGCCTTGGTCAGATCGACGAACACGGCACATAACAGGCACCCCGAGAGGAGTGCCTGCGACATAACTTGCTGTAGTCTCACCAAGTGGTCCATTGTTGATCGTCCTTTCCTGAACCCGCTTTGATTTTCGTCAATCAGTCGGTTACTCTCCAGATAGAACTGTAATCGGATGTTCCAGGGATTTGCATAGTGTGGATGTCAAGCTTACTGGTCGATAGGACTCTGCCTTTGTCCTCTCTTTCCCCGGTTTCAGTAGTGGGATGACGTTTGCTTTCCGCCATTCTTTAGGTACCTCTCCAGACAGCCAGGATGTGTTGAAGAAGTTTAGTAGTGTCGTTTTGGCGTTTCTAGGCAGATGTTTGAGCATTGAGTACTTTACTTTGTCCTCACCAGCCGCACTATCCTTCATCCTTCTTGAGGGAAAGAGCCTCTTCATTAGATTCAATTACTAATGAAGGGTGCTGCGAAAGATTTCCTTCCTCTTCGGAAACTCTGGTGATTGGGGGTTTTTTTATCTCTGCTTGCGTCTGCAAATGTTTTAGCAAGTAGATCTGCCTTTTCCTTGCCGTTGGTAACGTACTGATCTCCATCTTCAAGGTTTGGTATGTTGAATGATCTGCAGTTCCCGTTCATGGCGTTCGGCTTCTTCCAGACGACACCCGTTTGCGTGTTTTTATTCAACGTATTACAGAATGTCACCCAGTGCCCACTTTGTGACTTCTGGATGGTGTCTCTTGCAGCGTATTTCAACTTTAGGTAGTTTCGGTGGTTGACTTCATTGTATTGTAGTGGCGTTTCCGTAGGCGAAGTGCCTTCTTTCTTTCTTAATTTCTTATTTTCTAGTCGATTTTGGCTTGTATAGCGTGCTGTCGCCTCACATTTTGTCGTAACTTCTACTTTTCGATTTTTCGACTTTCGCGTTCTCAAGGGGCGAAAAGTAGAAATTATGAATGGTAGTTATAAATTATAGGCTTCCATAGTATTCCGATCACATGACCGAAAGTCACATGATAGAATTGTAAAGAAACAAAATGGCGTAGTTTGTTTGTCAACAGAGAAATGAGATGGAAGTTTTAAATGAAATGAAATAAATTGGGGTTTAACGTAGAAGTTTTAAAACTTTAATGAAACTTTATTATAAATATCTTCACCATGGATGAACAGACACAACTCATACATCGTTCTCCATCGAGAGAGACGAATACATCACCAGTTCATCGCCAAAGAAATCATGAACACTTATCATATTGGAAGATGCAAGTGGCATGTGGGATGATTTTGTTTACAGTTATTTTGGAGAGATTGGCTTTTTACAGTCTTTCGGGAAACTTAGTTTTGTTTCTGAATAAGAATCCGTTCAATTGGATGTCTTACCATGCTTTAAGTGCCTCATTTTATTTTCTTGGTGTATCTTTTGTGACTTCTTTATTCGGGGGTTGGTTAGCAGATTCATTTTTAGGACGATATAAAGCTATTCTGGTAGCGTTTATAATCTATATTGCTGGTTATGGTACTATGCCGTTTTTGGCTCTGGATAAAAATGGAACTATGATAATCAACGGTACCCATATATGTAAATTTAAAAATCAAAGTGGACAAAATGATGATACAAGTGACACAAATAATCCTTTTAATGAAAATTGTGTCGGTCTTGTTTATATTGTTTTAACTGTTATTGCCATAGGAACTGGATCTGTTAAAGCCAATATAGCTCCATTTGGTGCTGATCAGGTAACTAAACAGTAGCACGATTTACCCATATCCACCATTATTTCTACTCATGTAAATATTTGATAAATAAACATGTACCATTTTTCATACCATAATAAATTGTCATTTTTAAATTAAAACTGTAACGTTTTTGTGTGATTTCCAAGCAAGCAATTTTGTTTGATGCAGTTGCTTGGAAATCATATTTTGAAGAGCATTTTTGACACATAAACACCAGGATTTTCAATTAAAAATGGCAATTTGGCATAAAGAATGGTATATTATCAAATATATATATAATAATTATTGTGATATGAGTTGAAATAATAGTTGATTTGGTTACAACTTCCTATCTTGTTTGGAAACCGCATTTTGAGGGGCCTTTTTGACACAAAAAGAACCATACTATTTTAGATTAAAAATGACAATTTGGTATAAAGAATGGTGTATTATCAAATATCAATATAAATTATTGTAATACGATCTGATATAATGTGTGATTTGGGTAAATCGTGCTACCTGGTAACTATATAAACAAGAATATGAGTTTGAGAGGTTTCCTTTGCTCATATTATTTCTAACCAGGAACTGATTTATTTGAGTTTTTTGTTTATTTAAAGTTCTCTGGGAACTGTTACAGGAAAATAAACTTCCTCAATTCTTGAAGATTTTAATTAGTATGTTATCACAGGCACTTGAAGGGATTAAAATAAAACTTCTTACTACTGCTTGACTATATATTATAGTATATAAAAGGTATTTCAGCCACAATCTTTGTTTACACGTTTTCAAGGCATTACGTCTGCTAACATCTCACAATACTCACTAGTTCTAACACTACCCGTCGTTTTTATTGCCAACGAGACCTTTTTTGATCATTATTCAGCTTCTGATGTAATTAAATTGGCCATTTAACAGCGTTATTAATTACAAATCAAACGTGAAGCGCTGTCACTTGCCGAAATTCATGTTCAACGGCCCGGAAATAAGTTGTGTTTGTAGCAGTCTGTATCACCAAGTCCCTCATAAACCTATCCGTTACTGGAAATTTGGTCGGTAAATGATCGAGTCTACGAAGCGAGGCCGCAGGTGCAGTCTGGATCACCCAGTTCCTAGGAAAATAATCGAGTAACGGATAGGTTTATGAGGGACTGAAATTTTCGGGAATAGTTAGTGATGGTGGTAAAGATTCTCCTTATCATTTGTGAGCCTTTTTTTATACGCCCACATTTTCATGTGGACGTATTATGCCGTCGCCCCTGTCCGTCCGTCCGTCCGTCCACAATTGTTTGTGGACTCTCTACAGGTCACAATTCTTATCCGATTTTGATGAAACTTGAAATATAGGTATATCCCCAAAAGATCTAGGCTGCTTTCGATATTGGCATGTATCGGATCGAAACTTCATGGATTATGGCCCCTGATTGTACGAAAAATCACGTTTTTAGCTTGTGGACCCTATAGAGGTCACAATTTTTATCCGATTTTTTTGAAACTTGAAATGTAAGTTTATAACCCATATCAGACCGTAACTTCCTGAATTATGGCCCCTGATTGTACGAAAAATCGCATTTTTAGCTTGTGGACCCTATAGAGGTCACAATTTTTATCCGATTTTTAAAAAAATTGAAATGTAAGTTTATAACCCAAAGATCTCAGTTCCTTTCCATATTCGCGCATATCGGACCGTAACTTCCTGAATTATGGCCCCTGATTGTACGAAAAATCACGTTTTTAGCTTGTGGACCCTATAGAGGTCATAATTTTTATCCGATTTAAAAAAAACGTATTATTATATCACTGTTACACGCTAAGGATGGCTGAGTTCGAATTTTGTGAAAATCGGCCCAAAATGGCCGCCGTTCGTTCTCAAATAGTGTAAAAATATGGTATATCAAGGTTGTGGACCCTATAGAGGTCAAAATTTTTATCCAATTTTGTTGAAAATTGAAATGTAAGTTTATAACCCAAAGATCTCAGTTCCTTTCGATATTCGCGCATATCGGACCGTAACTTCCTGAATTATGGCCCTGATTGTACGAAAAATCGAGTTTTTAGCTTGTGGACCCTATAGAGGTCATAATTTTTATCCGATTTAAAAAAACGTATTATTATATCACTGTTACACCCTAAGGATGGCTGAGTTCGAATTTCGGGAAAATCGGCCCAAAATTGACAGACAAAATGGCCGCCGTTCGTTCTCAAATAGCGTAAAAATATGGTATATCAAGGTTGGTGGACCCTATAGAGGTCACAATTTTTATCCGATTTTGTTGAAACTTGAAATGTAAGTTTATAACCCAAAGATCTCGGTTCGAATTGGAATTTCCTGAATTATGGTCCTTGATTGTAGGAAAAATCACTTTCTTTTTAGCTTGTTCTCTATCCATCTCTCGAAAATGTGGGCGTATCCTGCCTGGCAGCCGCTGGTTATCCGATTTTATCAAATAGTGTAAAAATATGGTATATCAAGGTTGTGGACCCTATGGAGGTTACAATTTTAATCCGATTTTGTTGATACTTGAAATGTAAGTTTATAACCCAAAGATCTTGGTTTCTTTCAATATTCGAGCATATCGGACCGTAACTTCCTGAATTATGGCCCCTGATTGTATGAAAAATCGCGTTTTTAGCTTGTGGACCCTATAGAGGTCATAATTTTTATCCGATTTAAAAAAACGTATTATTATATCACTGTACACCTTAAGGACGACTGAGTTCGAATTTCGTGAAAATCGGCCCAAAATTGACAGACAAAATGGCCGCCGTTCATTCTAAAATAGCGTAAAAATATGGTATATCAAGGTTGTGGACCCTATAGAGGTCACAATTTTTATCTGATTTTGTTGAAACTTGAAATATAAGTTTATAACCTACAGATCTCGGTTCCTTTCGATATTTGCGCATATCGAATTAGAATTTCCTGAATTATGGCCCTTGATTGTAAGAAAAATCACTTTCTTCTTAGCTTGTTCTCTATCCATCTCTCGAAAATGTTGTCGTATCCTGCCCGGCAGCCACTGGTTTTAAAAAAAAAAGGAGTTCCAGAATTAAATTGCCAGTGACTCGTATGATTGTTGATAAACATTCTATACTGTACTCCTTCTGAAATGATTTTTATACGCCCACTGAACACTGTAGAGGTCACAATTTTTATCCAATTTGGTTTAAACTTGAAACATATGTTTGTAACCCACAGATCTCGGTTCCTTTCCATATCGCGCATATATCGGAACATAACTTCTTGAATTATGGCCCCTGATTGTACGAAAAATCGCTTTTTTAGCTTGTAGACCCCATAGAGGTCACAATTTTTATCCGATTTAAAAAACCCTTACAATATATCACCATTACACCCTAAGGATGATTGAGTTCGAATTTCGTAAAAATCGGACCGAAACTGACGGACAAAATGGCCGCCACTTGTTCGCAAATAGTGTCAAAATATTGGGTTACAGGGTTGTGGACCCTCTGGAGGTCACAATTTTCATCTGATTTTGATGAAACTTGAAATGCATGTTTATAAACCACAAATCTCGATTCCGTTCGATAGCATATTGGGCCATGACTTCCTGAATTATGGCCCCTGCTTGTACGAAAAATCCGAATTTTAGCTTGTGGACCCCATAGAGGTCACATTTTTTATCTGAATTAAAAAAAAACGTTACAATATATCACCGTTACACCCGAAGGATGGTTGAGTGCAAATTTCGTAAAAATCGGATTGAAACTGACGGACAAAATAGCTGCCCCTCGTTATCAAATAGTGTCGCAATATTGTGTATCAGGGTTGTGAACCCTCTGGAGGTCACAATTTTCATCTGATTTTGATGAAACTTGAAATGCATGTTTATAACCCAAAGATCTCGGTCCCTTTCAATATTCGCACATATTGGATTTTAACTTCCTGAATTATGGCCTCTGATTGTACGCAAAATCGCGTTATTAGCTTGTGGTCCCTTTAGAGGTCACAATTATTATTCGATTTAATAAAAACGTTCAAATGTATCACCGTTACACCGTAATGTTTGTTGAGTTTGAATTTTGTGAAAATCGGGCCAAAACTGCCGGACAAAATGACCGCCCCTCTTTAATAGTGTAAACATCTGGTAAATCAGTGTTGTGGACCCTCTAGAGGGCACAATTTTGATCTGATTTCGATGGTTCCTTTCGATATTCGTGCATATCGGATCGCAACTTCTGAATTATGGCCCTTGATTGAGGTCACAATTTTTAACCGATTTAAAAAAAAACGTGTGAATATATCACCATTACACACTAAGATCTTGGTTCCTTTTTATAATCGCGGATACCCGAACTTAACTTCCTGGATTATGGCTCATGATTGTTAAAAAAAATTGCATTTTTAGCTAGAGTTCACAATTTTTTTCCGATTTTAAAAAACGTTTTAAATAATGAAGGTTGAATTCGTGTTTCGGGAAAATCGAAATGAAACTGCCCGACAAAATGGCCGCTCTTTGTACGCAAATTGTGTAGAAGTGTGTAATACGATGGTTGTGGAACCTCTAGAGGTCACAATTTTTATCTGATTTTGATGAAACTTAAAATATTTGCACATTTTAGGCTATAACTTTCTGGATTATTGCCCCTGATTGTACAAAAAATCACGTTTGTTTTTAGCTTGTTCTCTATCCATCTCTTGCAAAATGTGGGCGTATCCTGCCTGGCAGCTGCTGGTTATCAAGTTTTCAGGAATAGTTAGTAGTGTTTTTGCAGAAATATTTTCAGATTTACTGCCCCAGATTATTCTTATTTTAACATGCCTAATGTTTAATCAAATTAAATTAACAGAAAAAAAATGTATTAAATGTTGACATATTTTATTCAGGTACTGGGGGGAGGTCAGCAACCAACATTGGTATTTTTTAACTGGTTTTATTGGTGTATAAATATAGGAGCTTTTCTAGGACTTGGTATATTTACTTACATAGAACAACAAAAATCTTTCTACCTTGGTTATCTTATATCAGGTTCAGCCTTGGCATTCGGAGCAGTTTTATTTCTTTTTGGTGAGTTGAAAATTGAATCCTTCTTTTACAAATCGTGACAATGTTGAAAAAGCTTATCTAATTTCAGGAAACAGCTTCTCATCAATTGTTTAATGTTATGATTGAAAGATATGTAAATAACCTCAAGTGTAACTATATTAAAATTTAATAATGACAATGGTCTGCTTAGAGCAAAATATGTTGTACAAGTAGACACTAAACTACTTGAAATCCCTGAATCTTAAAATATCTATATCTGGTCAGATGTCTTAAATTTAAGGGAACTTTTTTGATATAACTGTATCGTCAAATCAAACATTATGCTGATTGACAAGAAACATGTATCCGTCATAGTTCTTTATATTAATTTATGGTTATACAATGTAATTATATTTTTCCTGTTATTAGAATAATTACAGACAACATTAAGTTTCCATGTTGTAATAGATAATCTAATTATCACGAAAAGAATGTAAACTATCTTTAAAGGGGCATTAGAGCTTTCAAAGTAATTTTAAAATTATTATTCAGACAAGTTAATTGTTGAAAAAAATGAAGTATGACCTGCTTAGGGCAAAGAGAGGGAGAAATGGTCTTAACACACACACAACAAAGACTTAGTCATTTGGGGTTCAACATATGCTTTAATTTTATTTCAATAATTTGTTTAAGCATAGGGGTCTTTAGCAGTGGTTCCCAGCTGGTAAATGACAAGAAGTAGGGTCGCCTGTCCAAGCGAATTATTGGAATAAAATTGAACCAACTGTTAGTCCCGAAATGACCTAGTTTGTGTCAAGTACAGGTTAAACCCCATTTCTCTCCCTCTCTCCTTAGCAGTGGAAGGAAACTGGAGGAACCACAGAAAACCCACGAGGTTGGACAGGCAACTCTACTTCTTGTAAAGTACAAGCAGGGAAATAGAAACCACACCTCTTGATGTAATGGAAGAACTTAAGATCTAAAGTGCTATCATTTAACAATTAGGCCATCCATCTCCCATACTTAGAGTAAAGTGGTTTTCACATGCATTTACTAAATTGTTTGAAAACCACTATGTAATGTGTACACCTCATAATGCATGTTATTGTTATACCATATGTATCTATTTTGATGGGCAGATCTATCTCAAAGTTTGCATACAATCTAAATTGAACATCCTTATACATGTTCATATGTAACTGTGAATTTAAATTGTGACATATTTAAAATCATTTTTTTATTATTTATTGACCATTTAAAATCTTTAAGACACTGATGACTCTTTAATGAATTAATTAAGTGGTTTATAAAAAGACCTTGCGTTTGAATAAAGCACAGTTTAGGCAAGAGTTAGAATACCATTCATATTTTGTTAATCTGAAGTCCAATAGAAATCGTGGACTAATGATTAGCCCATATACCATGTTCAATACAATGTAACTTTAAGCTTACTAAATAAATGTTTTTCAGGAGGATGTGTTTTTATTCGTAAACCTGCATCAGGTAGTGTTTTTACAAATATATTCAAAATATTACGAGAGGCTTGTAGAAGTAAGCGTAGAAGATCCAAAATGATTTCCAGAACACAAAGGTAAAATGTTTGTTCTAAGACTGTGATAGCATTTAAAAAAAAAAAAAATAGAAACAGAATACTAAAGAATAATATCTGATTAGATATGCTGACCTTCAACTAATCATATCAATTTATTTAGATTTTCCATAGATAATTTTTCTGCTCAGATTTAGGACATTTTATTTATGTTGAAAAAGAATTTTGTTCAATTGGGACCCAAGCCAAGTCCTCACCTGTCTCCATGCATATGTATTTGTAAGGGTATCAATATTGAAGTTTCTATGAAATATAAAACCCCATGACATGAAAAATTAGGCCTTCTAGTACTTTAATGAATCATATCTATAAATCTTTTCTATTGATTTAGCTTGTGATCATAGTATTAAAAGATTTTACATTACCTGTATAGAATTTCTTTGATTAGGTAAACACTGTCAAGGTCAAATTCTAATTAAATCTGATTATATTATACCTTTATTTCGTTTTTTTTTTTTATAACTTCACAAAAGGATTGAAAATTAGTAATTTATAATTATATACATTAAAGATGTATCTCAGAAACATTTTCATTCTGAATATTTCTGGTTTTAGGACAACTCTCATTTAAAAGCAGTATCATATCTTTTTATTGGCTTAGAAATTTGACAACTAGATGAAAAGATACGCAAGAAAATTCTGATCCTGAAGAATCAAAATTTGAATTTTGTAAAATAGTCTGAATACAACCTTTTGACTCTTCACTGATGATATACTACTCCCCAAAACACCATGAACTGAGTTGACAAGATGCTTTACTCCTTTCTAATTCATATCTTGTACATGTATGTTACAGATATATAGTAGACGAAGCTGATAACGAAGAAGAAATCAAATTTCTAGATCATGCCAAACATCGTCATGGTGGTATATATCATGATTCTATAGTAGATGATGTCAGAGACTTGAAAAAGATTATCTGTGTTTTTATTGTTTTGATTCCATATTGGGTTGTTTATTTTCAGGTAAGTTTAATTGTTTTTATATGCAGTAGTAATAAAATACCTTGTGAATTTAATAATTGTACCAGATAAATTTTAAAAACAAAATAATTTATATTTATAGAAAATTTAAATTTGAAAGCTTAAAGGGCTAATCCCGATAGTTTTTTGGAGAATAAAACTGTTTAATTTTGTTTTAAAATCCCTTAAAATCCTCTACCTAAGGGCCGAGCAACTAACTCAATATTTGTGATAAGTTTTCAAACAACTGAAACCCGTCAGTCTTCATCTGGAAATGGAGACCAGTGTCCCAAGCTGTATTATGCTGTGTCTAGATAAAACCTGACATTTTTTGTATAAAAATAATGTGTAGGTGAAATTTACCTTTCGTTTATCAAGTACAGCATTTGGGTCATTCACTGTATAGACCGCTCAATGAACGGGCATCGATTATCAGGTCTCCCAACGAAAGAATTTACCCGAAAACTTAAAAGGGTTACGTGTTCGGATAAGCAGTTTTGACGGTCACATCCAAATGACTCAATATATTGAGCTGAAATTTTGAGATACGGTCAATACACCATTCCTCTATATTTTCGCGTTTAAATTTCATACATACTCAGACTTTTATTTTTGAGACTGTTCAAATAAGGGATAGTCCCTTTAAAGGTGTAATTATTAATGGGTATTGTAGTCCGGAGACAAAATTTGCTTCCCCTCAAGACTCCCACCCCTTATTGATTTACAATGATAACTCAAACAGTTTAATTTATCTTCTGATTACCAGTACCTGTTTTGTGTAATAAATGTTAGCATTCGGAAGGACTAGAAGCCAATCAATTTCAGTTATGTCTCACAGTTGTTACCCTTACCCTTGATCAGTTTTTGGTGTTTGTAATGTCCCTATTATCTACAAAAGAGTAAATATGCGACAACCTTTGTGGACTGCTCGGTAGATTCAGAAATGTCATTTATAGACAAGTTACAGACACTGTTCCTGTATTGACAATAGCCAAAGTTCATCAAGTTAACTAGTATGCATACCAGCATGGCATCTTATGTTCTTTGCAAACTGAGTGACTAGTATGCACACAGAACAGTTTTCATTCTGATTGCAGGAGAATGTCATAACTTAACACAATAAAAAATCTTTGATTTTTATCTCAGAAAATTTCTATTCCTCAAATTTATGTTCGACCAAAACATGTATTGCTTTCATAAGAGTTTTTATTATTCATTTTTTGGTTTTTTTTGCCGATTTTAGTCAGAGTTTGCAGCCGAAACTGTACATGGTGCAAACATTCTGCCAACGTAAATGTGGTTGGCCTCCGTGGAACTATTTATTAGATATAAATTGGGTCATTTTTGACAAACAGGAAGTGTTTTAACAAAAAGTAATCACAGATTGCCCATATCTCAGTTATTTCTCAATGGATCTTCTTTGGGTTTTCAATTTTTTGATTCTTTGGACGAATCCCATATGGGGCTCTCGTTGGCGTTTTTTTTTAAAATTCGGAGATTCGTTCAATTAGTTTTAGCATCAAAGATTTGCGAATGTTTTCTTCAGCATTTTTCGATATGCAAGATGCCGTATATCCTTTAGTAATTGAGGTATCGAGTTGAAACTAGGCAGGAATAAGAAACACATTGATACCTTCAAAACAGCATATTAAAAAATTTTGTGACCATTTCCGGAAATTACCAAGGCCTTTCGATTTTTCCCGAGCATGAATAGTTCTCTTCATTTTAAAAATAGACTAAAAATGACATATTATGGTGATGTTAGCCCCAGATATTGTCTTTCATTTTCAAACATCTTGTTCGATAACATGTTCAATGGTTTGGTCGCCATTTTGGATTTTACAAAAAACTTTCAAATCGATATTCAGGGTGTTGGATAGCTGAATGGTTATCGCGTGCGCGTTGTATTATAAGGTCTGTTGTTGAGTCAACTGGCATGGTTTTGATTCAACAGTTGTACGGTACAAGGAGTAGGGTCGCCTGTCCAACCTCATGCATGGGTTATCTCTGGATCTTCCAATTTCCTCCCACTGATAAAGACCCCTACGCGCAAGTGAATTATTGAAATAAAATTGAACCATATGTTATTCCCGGACCTAGTTTGTGTCAAGTGGCCATTAAACACCATTTCTCTCTCTCTCTCTCTCTCTCGCAAATCGATATTCAGCTGCCATTTTGATTCTGATTTTTAAAAAAATTTTTTTTATTTTAAACTTACTACAAATGGCAGCAGTTCTTAGGGAGTCGATTTTTGAATTTTCATTTTGTTTACTTCCGGTTTAACTTTTTTCAATTTTTTACCTACTATCTGGTGACCTAGCCTTTCAATGACCCTTGACCTTTGCTTATAATATGGTGACCCTGACATCTACTAACAACTACTATCAATAAGTTTGGTCTTAAAGTGTAACGTCCAGTTCAAAATAACAGGTTTTTCCACTGTAATGGGTATTGGATGTTACTATACTCAATAGTTCATGGTGAAAATTGACTGATGACGTGACAAGGCGTGACCTGACTTACCGAAACACGTCAGTACTCTATTGGAGTTCTAGTGTTAATTTTACAGTTGCTATATTTTCTTTTATAACAAATAAAATCTCTGAGAATTTTATTTTGTTTGAGTACCGTAAGAAAGATTTTTTAATATATCAACAATTGTTTTTTTTAGATGCAGACAACATTTTTATTACAAGGCTTACATATGAGATTGTTATTTAAAGATTCTGAAAAAAATGCATCCAATTCGTGTAAAAATGATGCTGTTCAAATAGAAACTGTGGCACAGAAATCGCAGGTAAAAAAGCCTTGTATTGTCCAGATTCTTATTATTGATTCAGTGGGGAAAGATCACTGAGCAGAGCATCCTTGTATTGTCCTAAAAAATGATTAGCATTTATCCCAAAAATTCATAGAAAAGATGTATATTTGTCTATCGGTAGTTGATCAAATAGATAGTTTTACACATATATAAAAATAATATTTATGTCATGTGAGGTTGTGATGTCAATCAGTATTAAGTCCTACATTAAGTGTTTTCCTTTATTTCTGTAGAAAATATACATCTTCTGTATCTACCATTTGTGATTGGCCATATGTATTCTGACTTTTTAAGCATTATGTTTTAAGTTTATTTTAGGTGGTTGAGTGGTCTAGCACATACACTTTAGATCACGTCTTGTGGCGTGGTGTCGATTCCATGCTTGTATGTGACAAGGATTAGGGTACGCTGCCCAGCCTCATGGGTTTTCTCCGGTTTTCCTCTCACTGTTAAAGACAGCTACGCAGGAGCAAATTATTTAAATAAAAATGTACCTTACAAATCCTGAAACAACCTAGTTTGTGTCACGTGGACATTAAACCCCATTTCTCTCGCTCTTGTATTGTTAGAATTGGTATATTTTTATGTGTTGTATATATAGGCAAAGATTTTGAATATTTTTTTCAGATTGCACCAGCGTGGTTATCACTGTTTGATGTTATAATGTTGATTATCATGTTACCATTGTTTGATAGAGTTATCTACCCTAGACTAGCCAAGGCTGGTTACCCATTCAGCATGACAAAACGTATATTGGTTGGTATGGTATTTGCTATAGCAGCCATGTTAGTTGCTGGTGCCCTTGAGCATTTTAGGTTAAAAAGTTTTTGGCCGTATGACGACGATGTGAAATGCCAATGTAAAAACAGATCTGTACCACAAATTATAGGTTAGAATCCTTTTTAATGATGACCTCTTGTTAACTAAAATATATCACATTGTTTCAATTTTATGAGTTGCACAACACAGATCCTATTTCGTTTCATTTTTTACACTTTTACTTGTCTTTCCTACACTACGATCTGGAAGAGTTTTTTAATATAACCCGCCTTCAAGATGTTGGACGGATTAGCCAATGAAACGGTCCGTTACGACTCATTTTTGGCGTGAGGTGCACAGAGCTGTGGTTACCCACTAGAAACATCAATGCTGATTGGTTAATCAAATGTCTGATGTCATAGGGTCAAAAGCCGCTCGTATGACCCCTGACGTGACCTCCCACTACAACTGGTCAGATCTATATAGATCTGATTAATCAGATTGTGTTGCACAGAATTTGTAGCTAAGTCTCTAACTCAGTATCATCCAAGGTCTTCGACGTTGAAAACACAAATTATTTGTCAATTTAAATCAACATTGATGTTGTGATCTTACCGGGAAAAGATGGACTTTTGATATCCAGTATTAAAGACAAAATAAACATTTTACCATTGGTACATGAATCGTGTACCATAATGCGTTTCAGCGCCATTTGCAACAGGGAACTCGAAGATCTAGGCTAGACTTATTCCACAAGTCATGTCAAACAGTGACGTCATATTCTTATCTGGAGAGCATGCCCAATAAATACTATCGATGTAGACTGGAATAACCAGATGCTAGAGATTGCCATTCGATCGAGACGTCGGGTATATTTCACCGAACATAACAGATTTGAAATTACAGTAAAAAACGGAAATGATTGAATTTAAATCAGTTTATAATACATTCATATTACATTATTGTATATTGTATGCATTGCGACCCATTTGTGTCAATTTCTAGGTCCCAAATATTAGCTCCTTAAAGCTTAGTTAGGGATGTCAATGATTTAGGTCAAAATGAAGTGTTAAATTGGGCTGATATCTTTTTTTTTATTGGTGATCTGGTAAACAACCAGTAGGGAATATTTGACTGGACAGCAGCAGTTCCACCTTCTCTTCATGGAATTCTCACTCTGAAGGGTTCTTTTGCATACACACCAGCATATACATGTACATAGAACCTCAGAGTTCAGTCCCATCAGAATAACTAGATGTTGTTCCTTGCTACAGCTTCTGTTCTGCACTGCTGACAAGCAAAAACTGCACTGAAAATGACCAGGAACTTCAATTTTATATTTCTTCAGGTGACACAGAATATTATGCAGCAGATCTATCAGTATTGTGGCAGATACCACAATATGCTTTAATAGGAATGAGTGAAGTGTTCACTAGTGTTGCAGGTTTGTAGATTTGTTTTCTAGGGTATAGACCAGCAGAAAAGAGATGAATTTTATAACAAAACTAACTAAACTCAGTACTCTATTGACATGGTGTATTTCCTAAACTGCACATGTTATAGCAATAGAAAATTATTATCTTCAAAACCATCAAATGGAATAAAACACGTAAAACTACTGAACTAGGTTTTTTTTTTAAAATATCACAAAAAATGACAAGAATGTTATCATACCAGTTACGTGTGGAACTTGCTATTACAAATGATTTGGGGGAACATTATTATAGAATTTATTGTTTTTCAGGTTTACAATTTGCAGTTTCTATGGCCCCAAAGTCAATGAAAGGAATAATTATGGGATTATTTTACTTTACGTCAGGTATTGGAAGTTTTCTAGGAACAGCAATAACTGGTATATTAAATGCAAACAAAATTTGGTTTGTGGACGGAGATGATCACGGTGATATAAACTGTCGTCTGCCATGCCGACCACATGATTATACATTTCAGGCAAACAAATCCTGTCATCTGGACTATTATTTCTATTTTCTTGCTGGTGTGGAATTAATTGGATTAATTCTGTTTGTGATTGTATCTAAGATATATCACTTAGATCAAGATGAACACAATCAGAATATACTCCAGCTACCAGTAGGTGAAGACAAGGAGTCACCTCCAGGCAGACGTCCACCTCATTCAATACAGCGATCTATTTCTAATATGTAGTTGACATTTGATGACAGTGGAGGTCATTAAATATGCCTACAACGGCTTACATGACTTGATGATACAATCTGTAATAATCCTTGTAGTTCTATATGTCATCATTACAAATTTGTGAATCAACCAGTGTTACCTTCTCGTCACATGATTTCTGGTTGTCAGAACTGGATATATCAGGATCCGATCGCTCACTGGTTCCAATAATTTAACTAAATTATTTTTGTGATATCTTGTTACAGTTATTTTTTGTATCATAAGGTATTTCTGTAGTCTTCAAGATTTAACTCCAAATCAGAAGAATTAGCATCAATTGGTGATGACTCTGGATGCCCATAGTGTTATGTAACAGTCATCACCAGAACTAAAGACCCAAGTCAACATAACTTCTGATAAAATGAACTTCCAGTGTTAGTGAGCCCAATTGTTTGACAGTATATTAACACTTGTAGTGAAAGTACTGCTTGAAGACTACATGAGCATGGGTTGTGTAACTTTTATATTTTCAAATAATATCTTATACTCTTATATGTTCAGATTGTTTGTAATATGTACTTAGAACTCAGAAACCTACCCTATTACTGGAATAATACTAGTATATTAATATTTGTGAAGGTGCAAATAAGGTTATTTTAAATATCTTATTTTTACCCATATTGTGTCAATAATTGTATAAAAACTACCTGTTTTCTACAAGAAAGCAGTAGTAAAAATGTTGGTTAAATTACAATGTTGTGTAACAATCAAAAGAAATAAATAAACAAAAGAAATTGTAATCTAATGCTAGGTTACCACTGTCATGTGATGCGTTACAATAGGATTGTTTCTATTGAAGAGTCCATGATCTGGTATGTGTAGATACGTTTGGATACGATCAACACGATTGCTACGACTGACCTCAATGTATGATAAGACCTGTTAGGATCATCACGGTAACTCCACAATTAAAACCACGATTTCAATTGTAGTGCGAATCATAATAGTGGGAACCTAGATAAAAAGATCTTAGATTGGTGGACGTACAGACTAAGATAGTTATTATTTAGAATTAGAACTGTGTATGGATCTTTTACGTGCTATTGTTATTTAATCAAAAAGTTACATTTGATCATCTTGTACGTATATAAATATTTGCTATTATCTTGCCAGTGTGTCTAATACGCAAACTGCACTGGGGTCATTTTTGGAGAAGTAATCATTAAGGATAAGGTATGGGAGATTAATAGTTAAAAACTAGATAATGTAAATGGAATTTGCTGAAAATTTCTGTCAAATTGATCCACTCTTAACCAAGATTTTAGCAATTGAATTTTTGGCTTAGCTTCGATCATCATTATTAAAGTCGGTACTCTAGGCAGATATAACTCTTGCATAATTTATAATGTATGTTTAAAATTTATATTAAAGCAGTCAGACAGAAAGTTTGTGATCAAAACATTATTATAATACTCACTGTTAAAATATTACTCTTCATCTACCTCTTTGTGTCGGAGACTATATAAAATGTCCTCTGACCTCTGTTTCTAATCGCACGTGGTTATAATACAATTAGATATTGTATGATAAATGCAAATGATGGTCGGTAGCTTTAAGTAATCTAGGACACCTTACTGACATATTGTCAAAAAAGACATGGTTATTAATGATGCTATCACTGTAAATAACAAGCAGTATTCATGCACTATTCAGTTGTATAATTTGTTTATGTTACCAAAGTTTTATGTATTATGTTATTCATTTAAAGGAGCTGAGTCGCTAATATTTGGGACCTAGAAATTGACACATATGGGTCGCAACGCATACAATAATGTAATATGAATGAATATAAATTGATTTACATTCAATCGTTTCTGTTTTTACTGTAATTTCTAATCAGTTAGGATCGGCGAAATAAGCCAATATTCTCAATCGAATTTCAATCTCTAGCGACTGGTTATTTCAGCCTACGCCGATAGTATTTATTGGGCATGCTCTCCAGATAAGAATATAGCTTCACCGTTTGACATGACTTGTAGAATATATGTAGCCTCGTTTTTCGAGTCTCTTATTACAAATAGCACTGAAACGTATTATGGCACACGATTTGTGTACCAATTGTAAAATGTTTATTTTGTCTTAAATATTGGTTATCAGAAGGCCATCTTTTCCCGGTAAGATCACAACATCAATGTTGATTTAAACCGACAAATAAATCGTGTTTTCAATGTCGAAGATTTTGGATGATATTGAGTTACCCTAGCTACTTTAAAGGCTCAATACCACTCTTGTTGTAACTGAATAATATGTCCCAATCTTTATTCTGGTCAACAAATTGTACTATTTTAGAATATTTCAATTAATTGATGATACAAATTTCATCTTAACACACCTTATTTAAAAATTTTGAAAAATCCAACATATTGGTTTGAAATGTCTAACGTAAACCTTTTCAAATGAAACTTCGATTTAAAAATACTTTCGATCCCTCTGGACAAGTAAAATAGGATGTAATGGATAATTTACACAACAGGTAGGACATTTAGATAGAGATATTATTTATTTTCTGGAGCTTTCAAGCCAGCAAGAGTGTTATTGTCCCTTTAAGATCAAAATGTATAATAAATGCAAATAAATTCAGTGACACACAACGGAATATTAAATACTGAAATTAATAAATGGAACAATCTGAATAAAACACAGATCCTATTTCGTTTTGTTTTTTAAAGTTCAAAATTTCGTTTTACTTGTCTTTACTACAATAGGATCTGGAAGAGTTGTTATCATTGACTTTTTCTGGGTAATGTGAGGGATTACCCAATGAAACAGTCTGTTACGGCTAGCTTTTGGCGATTTTTGTGCAGAACTGTGGGTAATCCACTAGAAACATCAATGCTGATTGGTTAATCAAATATCTGACGCGACCCCCTGAAACAACTGGTCAGATCTTCATGTAGTGTAGGCCATTGAAAGTATAAAAAACAAAACGAAATATAGATCTGTATTCATTATAAATAAAAGTTCAACTTTAAAGATATATTCCTTTGACATTCAATCTATTTACACATTTAAAGATGCCAGGTACAGGGAAAACTATATGTGTTGCTGACAATGATATATTTTATAAGTTATGAATGAGAAGTCATATTTTATTTCAAATCTAAAAATACTGCTATTACCAGTAAAGCTGTCACTTAACGAGTTAAAGTGTGTTTGAATCCAAAAGCATGCACCTATCTGTTTGAATGCTAACAACTAGCTTCAAAGGCATGAAGAGTTGTATGCCTAACTTTGGATTATTTATTATGAGCTTGCTTAACATTTTCAGTCTAAAAAGTTTATTTTTCTGGTTCATTAGTAATATCATGTATTTAGTTAAAAATAAGATTTCAAACTGCACATCCTAGATGACCTTATTAACCCAGAGGAAACATATATCTTTAAAGGGAGATTTCATGATATAAGTGGAGGAATATTTCATTTTTGAATATTGTATATTTTGTGTATAATAACATTACTTAGTTGCAAATCAATTAGGCTACTATACATTATACCTACATATATATTTACCTATAGTTATTTATTAGATGTAAATATACCAGTATCATGATGTATTGTATATAACATGTACAGATATGATATAAATCCCGGTTACCGGTATATAAAAGGCGCTTGTAAATAAATATTGACTGACTGAATAAACCTCAGATATTCTTGTATATGAAAATTAGTCTGCTTTTATGATTCTCTGGTCAGCAAGCTGACACGCTTAAGACCCATAGTGTGGTTAAGAGAGAGAAAACATGGGGTTTAATGTCCAATCAACACAAAGCAGTCCATTACAGGACTAGCATATAGTTTAATTGAAAGTGGGAGGAAACTGAATAACCCAGAGATAACACCCACAAAGGTTAGGTAAGTGACCCTAGTCCTTGTCATGTACAAATGTGGGATCTAAACAATGCTGCTTGACCCAATGACAGACCTATAACCCAGAGATAACACCCACAAAGGTTAGGTAAGTGACCCTAGTCCTTGTCATGTACAAGTGTGGGATCTAAACAATGCTGCTTGACCCAATGACAGACCTATAACCCAGAGATAACACCCACAAAGGTTAGGTAAGTGACCCTAGTCCTTGTCATGTACAAGTGTGGGATCTAAACAATGCTACTTGACCCAATGACAGACCTACAGATCTATATTTCGTTTTGTTTTTTTATACTTTCAATGGGAGTTATACGAGTGGCTTTTGACCCTGTGACATCAGACATTGATTATTCAATAAGCGTTGACATTTCTAGTGGTTTACCCACAGTTCCGTGCATCGCACGGCAAGAACTTGCAGTAACAGACCGTTTCATTGGCTAATCCCTCGCTTCAACCAAAACGTTGGTAATATAACAACTCTTCCAGATCCTAGTCTAGTAAAGACAAGTAAAACGAAATTTTGAACTATAAAAAATGAAACGAAATAGGATCTGTGTTTTAATCAGATTGTGTCATGTACAAGTTATGTGGGATTGAAACCATGCTACTTGACCCAATGACAGACCTTAAGTTTAAGGTATAAAGCGCATGTCTTAGACCATTAGATGCCCACTCTCCATGTGTGGTTAAGACAGGAGGGCTAGTCTAAGTTTTACCTTATGATTTCTTCAAAATAAACGACGTGTAGACTACATGTGGTTTGACATTGAAAACAATTCAATTAAAACATAATAGTGGGATGTCAATTAACTCTGTAAAAAATTAAATTCTTGTCACTCAGAAGAAAGTATAAAGTAAATAGTTTATTCAATAAAGGAATCATGAGGAATCTTGAAATTGGATTTACTTATAGTCATCACAACTAGGTCATTTTGAATCTAAAACAGGGTGTATAGCTCTATTCTTTGGAATATTAAAATGGATGAAAATGGGTCTAAAAGCAATTATGTTTGGAAAATATACAAAAAGTCGCAATTGAACCTGCTGCACCTGCTTAGCCATCCGCACTCGACAAGTTTTTATGTCTTTATTTTGTCATTTGTGAATCAGCCATGTTTAATAACTTCTGATTGTCTTCTCAGTCTGGGATATGTTTTTCTTTGTTCATTACAAACCATTATGTCCATGCACATAATGTTGTGTATTGATTTTAAAATGTTCATTGGGTCTTAAATATTGGGTATTAGGATCCCATATTTTAGAGGTAAGATAATAACATCAGTATTGATAAATATGGACCGATATTGAATTCTAATTAGTGTTTTTAATTGTGAATATTATGGAGGTTTAATTAGCTCCTTTAAAATGAAGTCCGTTGAAAATATTCAAAGGTTGAGAAATTAGAACACAGAGCTCGCATTTCATATAAGCGTTAAAACATAAATTTGTGTAAAATAAAGTCAGTATCGGCAACCGGCTTATTCGTAAAGATCTGCGGCGAAAATAAAACCATAATAGATGGACCTTATTATTATATTATTTATTAAGGTCCCGTCCATCAGAAATTTTATAAAACCCCTATTGTTTATTGAAAACTATGAATCAATGTATATAATTGTGTAATCTTGGGGGGGGGGGGGGGTTGTTGGTTTTTTTTATATTAAATTTTTGGATTGGATTGCGAAGTCTTATGTAACACACTGTTAGGCCTATTTCACAACTTTACGTAAAAAAGAGAAATTATAACCCACTCCAACATATGATTGAGTTATTTCCCTTAGATATGACTCTTTACGGATAAAGGCCAATTAAGATACCAATATGGCGTTCGCATGGCCTGAAGTTTCGACTGCTCGCAAAGAAAAACGTAAAGAACTGACTTTACATGGAGCCGATATAAATGAAAGGATAGAATCTGGTGGCCTGGATGAACATATTTTTAAGTTAAACCTACTAAATTATCTTGATATCAGTAAGACATGTCTGCCAAATCTGTCGGAATCTATCGGAAAACTTACAGAATTAATGAGGTTGAGTTTGGGTAATAATCAGTTGACGTCTTTACCACCAACTATCGGTAATTTAAGCAAATTAAAACTGCTTGATTTATCAAATAATAAATTAGAAAGTTTACCAGAAGAGCTAAGTCAGTTGACACATTTAGAAACTCTGAACTTGAGCGTAAACAAACTCACAAGAATACCTGCGATTGGAAAACTTGCAGCATTGGCCATTTTTGATGTTTCTTATAATGAACTCACTGAATTACCAGATGGAATGAGCGAAAATCATGAATATTTAACACAGATCCGTGCAGGTCATAATAAACTGACAGAGCTTCCAGAAGATTTGAGTAATTTAGTTCGATTAACTACTTTAGATGTTTCCGAAAACAAACTAAAGGACCTTCCCTTGCGACTTTGTGAATGCCCAAAGTTGAAGGAATTCAATGGTAAAGGTAACTGCATTGGAGAGAGAAGACTGGCCAAGATGGTGGACCAGGGACAATTTAAAGTTATGATGACTTATTTATCAGCAGAGTTACAAAAACAGAAAGAAAGGGAAGGAAAATCAGATAAAAAATCTAAATCTAAAAAGAAGAAAAAAGGTAAAGACAAAGATGATGAAGAAATCGATTTGGCTAAAAACATGATCAGTGTTCTTCGTTTTCCCTTAGAAGATGAGTCTGGTGTAACTGTGTCAGTCCAAGTTCCAGTCGTTACAGTTCGTCCATATATAGTTTGCTGTATTGTACGGCATCTGAATCTAAAGAAATCACTCAACATGTTCAAACATTTTATAACTCTTCAGGTATTGTTATTAATTCTAATTAGGCAATTTAATCACAGTTGAATGAAAATACTTTCTTTGATTGATTTTTCTGCTGAAAAATTGTATATTTCCAATCAATCATGGATGTGGCATTGTCTTAGTTAAGAGTCTTAACAGATCGTGTCAGGATGATTTACCCAATAATTAGGGGTTTCCCGTCACGTGACTTCAGCATGAAATATAGCCAACTTCAATCTACGATTCTGAATTACTATTTCATTTAAATGTATTACTAGCAAAATGTATTGTATTTGTTAAATATCAATCTCAATATCTGCAAAGATTCCGGCTCAAAAATTATCGAAATGTAAGCCATATTTCCGTTTATGTACGGGAGACACTCACAGGAAAAAATCGCTCTGACATCACACGACCGGGGATTTTCCAACAACATTAATTGCTATGGCTGACTTCTTTGGTGAATCCGCACCTTAGTTTTCGGGGGATTTCAACATACATGTAGAGCCAATCAAACGATAGATAACATTTTTGTGATTATTATGATACGTTATACCCCGAGCTACGACAATTACAGCCGTAGAAAATGGGATTTTATCTGTTTTGCTGACTGAATTTTGCTAAATTTCAACTAAATATAACCTACTTTTTTTGTGGTATCATCCAGATTATAAATATTTGACATATTATCATTCAAATTATTACGATTTTGATAAATCTTGGCTGACTAATGTGCAGATTTCAGTTTTAAATTTGGCACAAACGATTCTGAAGGGAAAATACTGCTAATTTTGGTGTCATGGCACGTATTGACTGTTATAGAGCATTTTGACTACATTATTGACATCGATCTCGGATTTTAAAATTTCATAACTTTAGATCTACTCAGAATATTTTGATGAAATAAAAATTTGAGTAGCAATTTATGTAGATTTTCACAAAATATTTTTAAAAAAAAGAAAGAAATTTCTGTCATTTAAAACTTTGACCTGAAATCCCTACAATAATATACTACCCAATTCCAAGTAAATACTACCAAATACCATCACCTACCTTATTATTGGGAAAAACTAACTTAATGCTTAAATTATAAAAAAAATGAGTTAATTCGATGATTTCACAAACTTTTTTTATACAGTAAACTGAATAAATCTATTTTTAGTAGTCCTGTCAGTAAACACAGTTCAATTTCAATACTATGAAACACTAATCAAGGGAGATAACTGGAATAGCAAGACATTGGCATTCACTTTTGACGTACATTTTTTGCAAGTTTTCCACAATTTAACTCATTTTTTTAAAATATAATTGAAACATTATGTTTACATTAATGAGGTATCGTATTTATGTGAAATAGTATTTGTTTGTATTGGGTGGTATTGGGTCATTTCATGTTGAGTGGACCAGGGGGCAGGGGTGGAAAATCGCACCCCCCTTGAAATGATCTGGAAAAAATATATGTTATTGTACATGTAAAAACTAGAAGCTGTGCAAAATTTGTGGGCTGTAGCTTGAAAATTGACTGAGATACGGGCATTCCACCAAGTTTCAGATTCTTAGGGTTCAATAGGAGTCAATTTTTGAAAATTTGTTCTGAAACTATATTCCAGGCCAATTTTCTGGGAGTGTAGTGAAGACTGATGCTTATTCATATGTTTCTTACGTAGTACTACCATCAATCTCTGGAGCACTACAAAATCACTATGATAGCCTGATAGGTAAAAACAAGATATCAGAAACTCAAGTAAATTATTGATACAAATTTTGCACAGTTCTAGTTTTTACATGTACAATAACATATATTTTTTCAAGATGTTTTCGAGGTGATCGATTTCCCACTTGACATGGAATGACCCCATTGGGTAAATCATCCTGCCCTCATTTCCATGCCTAATTTGTCTTGATCTATATGGTTTCTTTTTTAGAATTGAATCTGATATTTTTAATTTATTGAGAAATAAATTCATCAGGAATTATGAATACAATGTACATATGTGAATAATTTTATTTTAGACCAGATTACATGACACAGTGTGTCAGAAGAGACAAGCAGCTACTATTGCTACCCATGATATGAAATTTATTAAAGGACCTCTCACATATACGGCTGAATTCCCTCAACTGTTAAAGGTATGTGGCTTTGAAAAGAAAACTCTAAGCGCAACTTTGTGTAACATTCAGACTAGATGCAGCATCAAAACTGAGATAAATTTAAACATCTTGACAACTGACACCTCATATCATTAAGAAACTGCAATACACAGGCAGGGCTGTCGGTAATTTTTCACAGTTGATTAGCAGCACTGCTAATCAAAAAGTCCAATTTTGCAAAATTTGATTAGCAAATTTAAAATTTGATTAGCAAATTTAAAATTTGATTAGCAGTTTTTCAGTTTCAACGTAAAACACCTAAATAACAAGATATTTTAATTCATAACAAATTGAAATATGATTAGATTCCATTCTGACTATTCTTAGATTTTTTAGCACTGCCACAAGTACTTGTGACAGTTGAGTTTGTGAATGTGATGTAGACATTTAGTTAGGTCTTAGGTCTGAAGCGAATTCTTGACAGTGACTTCCGAAGCCCCACTCATTTTAATTGTAATTTTTTTGTTACGATACACAGGCAGGGCTGTCGCGCTAATTTTTCTCTGTTGATTAGCAGCACTGCTAATCAAAAAGTCCAATTTTGCCAAATTTGATTAGCAAATTTAAAATTTGATTAGCAGTTTTTCAGTTTCAACGTAAAACACCTAAATAACAAGATATTTTAATTCATAACAAATTGAAATATGATTAGATTCCATTCTAACTATTCTTAGATTTTTTAGCACTGCCACAAGTACTTGTGACAGTTGAGTTTGTGAATGTGATGTAGACATTTAGTTAGGTCTTATGTCTGAAGCGAATTCTTGACAGTGACTTCCGAAGCCCCACTCATTTTAATTGTAATTTTTTTGTTACGTTAGAAATCTTCGTTAGAAAACAATTTTGTCTGCTTTTTATCGTGTATTACTATTTTTGTTCAATCGGGCGCTCCTCGATTAACTACATGTAGACACACGCGATACAAACAATAAAATTTTAAGGGAATTTTTACTTTGATTTATCATTTTACAATACGTTAACATGTATTTATTTTTGTCCCCCGCCTTTCGAAGAAAGCAGGGGACTATTAAAATGGGTTCGTCCGTCTGTCTGTCCGTCCGTCCGTCTGTCCGTCTGTCTGTCCGTCACACTTTTTGGGACACAATAACTCTCTTCCTAATTGAGCTAGAATGTTCAAACTTGGTGTATGTGTTTATTAGGTCAATGCCTTGATGGAGTTCGAAGATGAGCATTTTCCGCTTAGGGTAAGCAGAGATAAGCAATTTGATTGGTTGATACTTTGGGGCACGATAACTCTCTTCCTAATTGAGCTAGAATGTTCAAACTTGGTGTATGTGTTGATTAGGTCAATGCCTTGATGGAGTTCGAAGATGAGCATTTTCCGCTTAGGGTAAGCAGAGATAAGCAATTTGATTGGTTGATGCTTTGGGACACGATAACTTTAGTTCTAATTAAGTGAGATTGATGAAACTTGGTGTATAGATTTATTATATGAATACCTTAACTAAGTTCGATAATGAACATTTTTTGCTGAGGGTAAGCAGAGTGATAAGCAATTTGATTGGTAGAAACTTTGGAACACAATAACTCTCCTTCTAATTGAGGTAGAATGTTCAAACTTGGCATAGGTGTCTATTAGGTGAATGTTTAAACTTGATGTATATGTAGATGTTCATTAGGTGAATGTCTTGACTGAGTTCAATAATTAACATTTCGAGCTGAAGCTAAGCAGAGCTAATCGATTTCATTTGTCGATGGTTTGGGACAAGATAATCTTGATTCTATCTGATAGAGAGTGATGAAACTTAGTGAAAAAAATAAATGTGCGATTAATTAATATGTGTCATCTATTTATTTTGCAATTTCGGCGGGGGACATCAGCCTCACTGTTGGCTTGTTTTATATTTTATTTACAATACGTGGGAGATACACTGGATTTATTTCTTTCAAAATGAATATGATATAATTACTTTATACACATTGAAAGCATGAGTAAGCCTTCTAGTCTTCAAAATGTGGATTATTCTTGTGTCAATATCCAAAATGACAGGCACATTAATGATTCGCAGTAACTGCGAATCAAAAACGTTAGATTTTAATTTTTGGTTAGCAACGGACAAAATATGTATTGCAAATTGCGCTGCGATACTGGTTGTCGGCAGCCCTGTACACAGGGGTGTGTGGTGTGGGATGGCCGAATGGTTAGCACATATCATAAGGTCTGTCATTCACTCCATTGATTCAACTGGTGTGGTTTTGATTCCCCGGTTGTATGTGACAACGGAAGGGTTGCCTGTCCAACCTCGTGGGTTTCCTCCATGTCCTCTGGTTTCCTCCCACTGCTAGGGACCCCTACGCGCAAGCGAATTATTAAAATAAAATTGAACCATGTGTTTATCCAGAAATGACCTGGTTTGTGTCAAGTGCATGTTAAACCCCATTTCTCTCTCTCTCTCTCTGCAATACATAGTCTAAAATTAAAACACATATTTGTTTCCAGATAACTCCATTGTTTAAGTTTAAAGAAGTCTCAGCTCAAAAGTTGATGAGAGAACTGGTGGAAGAAGCTGAAGCACTTCGTAAAGAGAAGAAGAGAAACACCATTAGTGGAATTCATAAGTAAGTTGATCCCAATTTGTGTGGAACTGCTTTATTATTCATAACAACAATAGGGGATCACGTGGCTAAGTGGGTGAGACGCTAGCTCGCTAGCCTGGAGGTCGGGCATTCGATCCCTGCATTGGCCGAGAAAGTTCATCCAGATTTTCCGGCGTGGTTCTCCCTTGTCAGTGATGCAGGACGGAGGGGCTGACAAAGAAAGCTGTCTATTCGTTCGGATGGGACGAAAAACCGAGGTCCTGTGTACACATTGGCGTGCACGTAAAAGATCCCTTGGCAGTTGGAATTCGATATAAGAGTAGGCCGAAGTGCAGCTGTTCGGGCAAAATATCCCTCATAGCACACTGTATGGCATATGCCTGTCTTCATTAGCCCAGGTTAGGAGCAGAACAGTAGGACGTTAAACTCCATTTCATTTCATAACAACAATAATAGTCCTTCTAGCACTTACCATGTTTACTGCCTTCATATATGTATATCAAGGACAAGATCCTCTGTGATTTTCATGAAAATAGATATTGTAAAATCTAGGAAAAACAATTGTTCTGAAAAAAAGGCAAACCATTTTAATAAAAAGGTAATAAGTAATTATTTTTCATTGAAAATCTCAATAAATAAAAATGGCATAATTGTTTTTATTACAGATATTTAGAACTTTTGAAGGGCAAAGTTCAATATCCATGTTTACGCGATGCTTCTGATCAGGTGATTTCATTTCCACCAATCACAAACAGTGATAAAACTAAGGTAATTCTTGATGTTCATTTAATACTAGTGAGATAGTCATCTAGAGAGCCATAGACGATTTAGCTTCTGTTAATATTTATATGCCCAAATGGAAGTGTGGTGGTATATTGTTGTTGCCTCCGCAATGTGTTTTGTTAACATTACTAGATGAAAAAGCCTATTGGCCCTTGTTTCACTTTGAAGACCCTTGTGAATGCTCTAACGCTCTAACAACAAAAATTACCACCCGATCTGTATGAAATTAATATGCATTATTAACATCAGTAGCAAGAAGAAGCCTAATGAATTTAATCAAATTCTGTTAATTACTTCTAGAGTTAAGACCCTTGCTTCACTTTGTTAAACCTTGTGAACGCTCTATCAACAAAAGTCATCTTCCGATCTATATGAAATTTACATGCATTATTTAAAAGAAGCCTATTGATATTTGAATCTCAGCAATTACCATATATAACTTCTAGAGTGATGGCCCTTTTTTCACTTTGTTGAACCTTGTGAATGACTTAAGTTATCATCCGATCTGCATTAAATTTATATATATATGTATTATTTAAATTAGTAAAGCAAAGAATCCTATATGGCTCTTGTTTCACTTTGTTGGACCTTTATATACATGTACCTACCAAAGAATAAATATGCAACAACCCTTGTTGACTGCTTGGACGATTTGGCTGCTGTGGGCACTTGAATGTAAATAAAGGGATGATGATACTAATAGCCAAACATCATTAAACAATGTATTTTACATGATATCTATATTGCAAGATATTACAACCTTGGGTAGGGAAGTGCTATCAGGTATTCCAGAAATGGTAAACATCAATATGTCATTACCAAAGATACAGACTGATAAATTAAATAACACCACAATCAATTTTAATCGAGGGGGAAAAAATACAGAATAATTTAAAAAGATTAAATACAGTATATATGTGAGTTCATAAAACAGAAAGTTTGAATACATAGATTTAACATGTATTAAGTAAGAAATATACAATATGTACATGCTTATAATATGGAGACACACAGAATACATATGATAAGAAATATAGGTGGGGGGGGGGGCTTTTTGAGGATAATATATTTGGAGTTGATTTAAGGTAAAGAAGTTTTTCCTGAAAAAATTAAAGTTATTTAAAGTTTTTAAGGAGGCTGGCAACGAATTCCAGAGTTAGGTCCCTTTAAAGCGTATACTTATTTTAACTATATTAATATTTGGCTTGAGAGTAGTAAGTTGATTGTTAAGATGATCATAAGGAGCTTGATAATAGGTAAGAGGTCATATAATTATTCAGGGCATTGTTTTAGCAGAATTTTATCGAGAGATATACATTGATTAGAGATAAGTCGATTTACTATTGTAAAATGACTTCAGTTTGCACAAACTTGAAGGTGAAACCGACGCATCTTCAATGTCAGACGTTAGACTTGAGTCCGCTATTTTGTCAGTTTAAATTATGAGACCAGTAAACAAGGAAGATAAATAAAACCGTTAAATATTCAAAAGTCAGATACTTATCACATCAGGTAAACAATATAGAAAGAATTGTTTCCGCCATCTTGGTTGATACGTGATGTCAATGCATGACATTAATGCAACCTCCAGGACAGGTATGTCAGAATAAATGTCTATTGAGAATAATATGGCCTGCCACATTATACTCTTTTTCTAAAATAACAACTGAATGCCTTTTTGTAATACATTATTTATCAAATTACATACTTGTTATCAACAACATTGATTAGGATGCCATCTAATTGATCACTATTGATTATTTTGTTGTTATGAGAGGTGTTCATTTGCTGAGTAATGCTTTATTGAAATTAAAATGACATTGAACCGTACTCTAGTTTGACGATATTTATTGTCCCCCGCCTTTCGAAGAAAGCGGCGGACTATTAAAATGGGTTCATTCGTCTGTCTGTCCGTCTATCTGTCTGTCCGTCACACTTTTTGGGACACAATAACTCTCTTTCTAATGGGGCTAAAATGTTCAAACTTGTTGTGGGTGTTTATTAGGTCAATACCTTGATGGAGTTCGAAAATGAGCATTTTCTGCTTAGGGTAAGTAGAGATAAGCAATTTGATTGGTTGATGCTTTGGGACACGATAACTTTAGTTCTAATTAAGTGAGAGTGTTAATGAGCATTTTCTGCTCAGGGTAAGCAGAGCGATAAGCAATTTGATTGGCCGAGACTTAGGAACACAATAACTATCCTTTTTATTGAGCTAGAATGTTCAAACTTGGTGTAGGTGTTTATTAGGTCTATGCCTTGATGGAGTTCAAAGATGAGCATTTTCTGCTTAGGGTAAGCATAGATAAGCAGTTTGATTGGTTGATACTTTGGGACACGATAACTTTAGTTCTAATTAAGTGAGAGTGATGAAACTTAGTGTATAGTTCCATTACATCAATACTTTAACTAAGTTCGATAATGAGCATGTTCTGCTCAGAGTAAGCAGAGCGATAAGCAATTTGATTGGTCGAGACTTTGGAACACAATAACTCTCCTTCTAATTGAAGTAGAATGTAGGCGTTCATTAGGTGAATGCCTTGATGGAGTTTGATGATGAACATTGTCTGCTTACGGTAAGCAGAGTTAAGCAATGTGATTGGTTGATGCTTTGGTTATAATGAAGTGAGAGCGATGAAACTCCGAATATAGATTCATTATAACATTACCTTGATTAGGTTCGAAGGTGCGAATTTTCTGCTTAGGCTAAGGAGCGATAAGTAATTTGATTGGTCAAGACTTTGGAACATAACAACTCTGCTTTTAATTGAGGTAGAATGTTTAAACTTGATGTAGATGTTCATTAGGTGAATGTCTTGACTGAGTTCAATGATAAACATTTCGAGCTAAAGCTAAGCAGAGCTAATCAATTTCATTGATCGATGCTTTGAGACAAGATAATCTTGATTCTATCTGATAGAGAGTGATTGCTCGATACTTTTGAAAAAAATAAATGTGCTATTAATTAATATGTGTCATCTAGTTATTTGGGGATTTCGACGGGGAACATCAGCCTCACTGTTGGCTTGTTATTTTACATTTTACTACATTTATTATCAGATCACTTTGAAATTTATATATGTTGTTTACATTAGTGAGATGAAGAAGCCTATTTAATATCAACAATTTCCATTTAAAACTTCTGTAGTAAATTTACACGCATTATTTAAGTTAGTAAAAAGATAAAGACTATTTAATTTCAGCAATTTCTGTTAACATCTTTTAGAGTTATGGCCGATATTACACTTTATCGAAACTTGTGAACGACAAAAGTTCCCGTTAGATCTGAATACATGCATTATTTAAATTAGTAAAACGAAAAAACCTATTGATTTTCAGCAATTTACTTTAATGGCTTATAGAGTTATGGCTCTTCATTCACCTAGTTGGAACACTATCAACTAGCGTTATCATCCGATCAGTAAAACAAAAAAGCCTATTGAATTTAAGTAATTTTTGTTAATAACCTCTACAGTTACGACTAAAGTTATCATCTGTTAATTTCAGCAAATTGCTTCTAGATAGTATTAAATTTGTATGCATTATGTAGACTAGTAAAACAAAGAAGCCTATTGAGTTTCAGCAATTTCTGTTAAACACTTCTACAGTTATGGCCCCTGTTTCACTTTATTTAACATTGATATCAGTGTTTTGTAAATTCTCTACGACAACCCTTGTCAATTGCTCGGACTATTTAGCTGAGTTTCAGCAATTTCTGTTAAACACTTCTACAGTTATGGCCCCTGTTTCACTTTATTTAACATTGATATCAGTGTTTTGTAAATTCTCTACGACAACCCTTGTCAATTGCTCGGACTATTTAGCTGCTGTGGGCATGCGTTTTGTTGCCTGGCAACTTATCTTTAAATTCTGCTTGACCATTCAAAGACTGTCGGTCAGATATTGTTCACATGATATAATTTACAGGCTATTGTATTGGTTGTCAATAAATTTCAATGTTTGAGTTACCGTGAAAATAATTCTTGGATTACTCCCTTGAATTAACAACTTTAATTGACTGTGGGCTGATTAATATCTATATTAAGTGATAATAAAGTTTCTGGTATAGATTACGGTAATAAGTTTATTTTTTCTTTCAGTACAAGCAGTCCCAGCACTAAGCTGTTGACTGCATACTGCATAGCATGATTATTATTTTATAGATGAGATTTCTGCTACTGAATTGTGATGATTTTTTATTATACTTTATCTTTAAATTATTAATTTACTGCTTTAGCATTCAGTAAACACCTATAATAAGGCACAGTATAATAACTATCAATTAATATTTACATATAATTGATGAAACCACTGATATTTATGGTAAACACCTAGAAATAAGGAACACTATAAAAACTATCAATAAATATGTACAGATATGTGATGAAACAACTGATATTTTTGCAGTAAACACCTAGAATTTGGCTAGAAATAAGGAACACTATAATAACTATCAATTAATGTGTACAGATTATTGATGAAACAACTGATATTTTGGCAGCAAACACTTACAATATGGAACACTATAATAACTATCAATTAATATTTACAGATTAGTGATGAAACAACTGATATTTTGGCAACAAACACCTACAATATGGAACACTATAATAACTATCAATTAATATGTACAGATTAGTGATGAAACAACTGATATTTTGGCAGAAAACACCTACAATATGGAACGCTATAATAACTATCAATTAATATGTACAGATTAGTGATGAAACAACTGATATTTTGGCAGCAAACACCTACAATATGGAACACTATAATAACTATCAATTAATATTTACAGATTAGGGATAAAACAACTGATATTTATGGTGAATACCTACATTATTGAACACTATAATAATTGTCAATTAATATTTACAGATTAGTGATGAAACAACTGATATTTTAATAGAAGTAACAAGTTCGACTAGTCTAGATGTTTGTAAGAATGTAATGGAAGAAATACTTAAAGAGACATTACTCTTAGGTATTGGTCGACCAGACAACACCCCACCTAGCACTGAACCTAAAGAAGCTGACACATCAGATGGTGCTGGAGCCACTAAGCCTGAGAAATTCATCTTAGTTGTGGAACAAGTCAAAATTGTGGACCATGAAGGAGCTTTAAAAGTTTTATATCCATCTAGGACTGATTTGACATGTGATGCTTTTCAAGTTATACGAAACTATGATTAGATATTTTACTAATTGATTTTATTGATATACAGTAAACCTGGCATAAGTCGGATTCGTACAAGTCGGATCTTTGCTTAACTCAGATAAAATCATTTGGACCCTTTGATCCTGCACGCTTTTCTTATTAAATTTCTGTGCGCAAGTCGGATTTCCTAAGTTATATCTTTGCTCAACTCGGATTAAAATGTTCGGTTCATTTGATCTAATTCAGGCTTTTTTCCTTCGCCCAAGTCGGATCAGCAGTATGTTCAGAATATGACTAAGTCAGTTTTGTCCCGATGGTCGAAAAGCGGTTAGGTATTCCATGCACAGAACCCCAAAATACTTTCCCCTATGATTTTGATTCAAATCAGCTTATTTGACGCGGCACAAAATAATAGAATTTTCCCGGAAAATTCGAAACTTGCTGTCTGCTGTACGAGAAAATTCAGGATATTTTTCAAAGATGGCGTCAAAACAGAAGTTATCTTATCGCACCAAACCGGAAGTTGTCTACTCGCATATACGAACAAAAGCTTGAAATGTGCCTTTGAATCAATTATTATTCAGCTCTTGCAGTTTATTTCTAATCGAGCTAAGATTGAATTTTGGTCTTCGGCTAACTCAGATCTTAGCTTAAATTGGATAAAATTGTTCAGTCCACTTAGATCCGACTTATGTGAAGTTTACTGTATGTATATAGTGCTATTATAATTAAAAGTATGATTGAGAATGGTTAAAAGAAGAGATCTCATCTTCAACCATCTATTATTCAGAAACCACTATATCAACCCCTTGAAGTACATTTGATTATAACTAAGTCTGATAAAGTTATCTGTATGTTTTTTGAATTAATTACAATTTGCAAAATAATTTCAGCACAAAATAAAAGATTGTTATTGTTATCACCGCCTATATATTTGAAACTCTCATTAAAGCTATAAATTTGATAATGTCAAAGTGTCTTCACTGGTTCAACCAATACTTTAATTTAAAACAATTCAGAGTTCACATGGACAGAATTTCAACTGGCTTGTATTATTTTGCAATTGTCAGATCTTATTGAATATTTATTGTTTTTGTTATTGTTTTACTGTGTACAAGATCAGGCCTGAAAATAATAAATATAGTTGTACCTGACAAATACCAGGCAATAATAAACTAGTTTCTAATATGCGCCTTTTTTTTTAGGACTCTGCATGAAATCAAATATAAAATTACTGGTTGAAATATAAATGTATACTGCATCTTCGTACTGCTTACTAATGTCCGGCTTCATCTCAGAGCATATCTGTATCACTTGCACAATAAAAATTACGCCATTAATAATAAAGTGAAATAAGAGTGTCCAGTTTTACCTCAATTTGAAAACATGTTGTTTGTGCTTAATAATAATCATCATGTGGGACCATCAGATTACTGTAATTACTAAATATAAAATGGCTAACAATAAGTGAAAATTCTTGCATGTTATCAATATCAGACTGTGGTATTCCTATTTGATCTGTTGACAAACAAAAACTGCCAATTTGCAGGGTCAACAACCATTTTAATTAGTTGGTTCTTTCAGCTTGAAAACAGATAAAGAGATGAAACCAGAAGACCACATACTATTTAGTGTATATCTGTTTCTATTGAAGGTTCTTGTGCATGTGTTTCCTTTGCCAGCTTCTTAATAATAATAAATTTAAAACTGTAAAGCAGGAATGGTATCTGGTATAGCATAAAACCTTACTTATGTTAATGTTCCAAATGTGACATTAAATAAATGTACTTACCGATAATTAACATTTCTAACATCAAGTAAACGTTTATTTCTTGCTTAACAGTTCTCATTTTGAATAAGGAATTTGGTTCATTTTGCTATAAATTATTTTGTAATATTAAATATATTTAAATTAATCATGAATAAAATATCATTTACAGCTCTAGTTTCATTATAATTAACAGTATTGTGGGTGTAGATTGCAATTGATTCTAGCATATTTAAACAAAATATGTGAGGGGGTTTGAGATGTTGGTTTGATTAAAAAAGACATGACTTTTTTAAACGCCCACATTTTCATGTGGACATATTATGCCGTCGCCCCTGTACGTGGTCCACAATTGGTTTGTGGACACTCTACAGGTCACAGTTTTTATCAAAGATCTCAGTTCCTTTCGATATTAGCATGTATCGGATCATAACTTCATGGATTATGGCCCCTGATTTTACAAAAAATCACGTTTCACATATCAAGTATGAATCCATGATAGTTGGAATTCAGAAAAGTGAAAATGCCTCAGTCTGGGCACCATTTTCCTCTTTGGCATTGTACACATAACAGTAAATAAAGAATAACCATGTTGATCTTACAGTGTTAAATACAAAATGTTAAAACATTTCATCCAGCACATACAGATAATTTTAACAGAAAAAGTTGGTGTCCACCAATTTTACACTGTGTTGAGTAGAGTATTAATCAAACTAGGTAATGCTAAGACTTTTTCTATATTTCTTGCTTTTATGAATAAGGTCCACAGTCATACGTGTGCACTTTAGATCGTAAGGCCTGTCATTGAGTCAGGTCCCCAGGTTTCCTCCCACTACTAAAAATTTCACGCTAAAATAAAATTGAACTATATGTTGGTCCCAAAATGACCTAGTTGGTGTCATGTGGACCTAAACCAAATTTCTCTTAATTGAAGATTTTTCATCAATATCATCTGTACAATCATTAGTGCACAATGAAAGATTGTTAGGTATCAAATGTTGAGTTAAAATAAATCATTACCTATCTTATTTTGGGCATATAATTTACAACAAACTAAAACTAGAAAGTTTTGGTTAATGCAGAAATTGCTTAGTCTTAATGTATAATATACACGGACATTGAAATCTGGATGTATATATTGCTCTCACCCATGTCCTTCATCCACAATATCTTGTGAACACTCTTCAAACTACAATTATTATTCGATTCTTCTAAGATTTATATAGGTGTTTAAATTGATGCTTAAATTAGTTAGATGAAGAAGCCTAGTGAGTTTTGGCAATTTCTGATAAAATCCAGAGATGTTGTCCTTTATCACTTTGTAGAATCATGTGATCATCTAATCTGCTTGAAATTTATATACATTGTTTAAACCAGTAGTTTACTACTGTCTTCTGACTACAGTTATACAATCTGCTTGAAATTCATATGTATTTTTATATGTGGACGTACATACTTATTCCTTATACCCAAAGGAAGATCCCTATTGTTTTTGGTGAATGACGGGCAGATACATTTTTTTGTGTGTGTCTGTGTAGTGCCTAAAGGTCACAATTTTTAATGGATCATCTTGGAACTTGGCATATGTATTCCTTATACCTTAAGGATGGCAATTATTGAATTTGGTGCATGCCCCGACCTCAGGGCTGAAGGCCACAATTCTGAATGGATTATCTTGGAACTTGGTATACTTATTCCTTATACCCTAAGGACGGCAACTATTGATTTTGGTGCATGATCCATCCCACTTGGGCGGTGCCACGCCCACTTTTTGTTAATATTTGCATCCAATTCGGTATGATCTATCATAGTGTTGTCCCAATTTGTATTGTTCCATATCTTACACCCCCAGGGTGTTAATCGTCTACAGGCTGCAATTCTGAATGAATCATCTTGGAACTTGGCATATTTTTCATTCCTTACACCCTTACACCGTAAAGACAGCAATTATTTATTTTGATGCATGCCCTGACCCCCAGGAATGTGGACGTATATTACAGCTTGTTTGAATTAATGAAATGGATAAGCCTTTTGAATTTGAACAATTAATATTAATTATGCCTGAAGTTAAGGCCCTTATTTACTTTGTTAAATGTTGTGAAAGTTATACTCTGATCTGTTTGAAATTGTATAACTTAGTGAAACGAATAAGCCTATTGAATTACAACAATAGATTTTAATTCTTTCCTCATGTAATGGCTCTTGTATACTTCCTAAGAAATATTCTGGTAACCTATTTTTAAAAAAGAAATACTATCATATTCAGTATGATAAACTCCCCAACTGAATAATTTAGCGTGAAACTATTAACTATCAAAATACTATAGTAGCCTATATTTAAATTAGATGAGTAAGAAGGACAGCTGATGTTAGTAGTTAATCACCTGACAAACACAACCATTAAACCAATCAATGTATCCAATACAAACGGTTCAAAAACAAAAACAAATAGCGCCATTACCATTATCTAGCATCAGTAAGTTGTAATATAACTTTTATATAATAATCAATATAGAATGGCCACTAAACATTGATTTAATCAAACATTTTCTTGAAGATCAATTTGGATATTCTATTGTTGTCCGCTGAATATAAATATGAAGAGACACTGGCACTATTAGAGACATTAGTATTTAATTACACAGAGTATATAATCCTGGATGAACACTGGTTTATTGATCTATCTGAGGATCAAGCTGTTCGTTACAGTGGCTCTTATAATACTAAATATGTCACATTCCACTTGTCATTTTGGGACTAACAACACTTGAACAGTACATTTTTATGCACATGCTCGGCCTGTAACAGTGGGGGAAAGCTCATGAGCTAAGGTAGGTGGCCAACTCAAACTCACGACTTGCATAAATGGCAGACCTAATAACAGCACCTGCATTAATGCAGATTAATGAGCCTCCTCCACTAAGGTGGACAGCCTAGTAGCCAGGTGAAATATTTTTCAGTTTGGCTCCTTGTGGATGCTAGAAATATTTGGGCCGAGTACAGTTACTAAATTTTAACTATCTAGTATTTATGTTTACAAATTAAAGATAAGGTCATTTATTGGGGATAATTTAAAAAATGCCCTCTAAGTGTTTAACATTCTGCAAATAGTTGTTAATAAATATATACTTTTTGATAAAGGAATTAATCAAACATTAATTATATATTAATCATTTCCAAATGGGTTCCCTGGGCATGTGCCTGTTACTAAAACTGAAGCTATGTAAGAGAATTAGAAAAGACACAAAAAAAAATCTGAAATATATTTACAACATTTATTTCTTGAAAAGCACTGCTATACATCACAAAACACAAAGAAAATAAATGATGTAATAAGTCAATTATATTATATTAATTAATAATAGCATTAACTGAATGGACGGACATTTAATGACTCGCTTCAACTTTCATATTGTGGACAACATATTACATATTTACGACAAGGAGCCTTATTTCAACTCAGCTTCCATTATATGTCTAAAAACATTATGCTAAAATACAAGTTAAACACATTTTTTTTTTCAATTAATCTACAGTTTCTGTTGAAGTAGTTTGGTTTTATTGAAATTGTTTAAGGCAAAAACAAGACCCTATGTTTCCAACTACTAAAACATGCTGAAAATTAACAGTGAAAATACTAATGGTAATGGGAGATCAAGTTAAATTTAATAATTATCACATGTTACAGGTTACAATTTTATGCCTTCTGGGCTCTGGCAAAAAAAAAAGAAAAGAAAAGAAAAACATGTGGAGGCCATCATGTTGATGTATATTAGTGATACTAGTAGGATGTTTGGTTGTTTTAATAAGGCCTGTTTAGCCTGTATTTTAAGAATGGTAGACTAATAGGAGTACATCATTTAATACATCCAGATGCATATTTTTATGCAAACCGAAACAGCTCTTTATTCAATGTTCTTAATTCGTATTTCTTAATCAAATTCTTAAAATCAATATGTTTTACAAATCAGACATTTGTCATATCAGATTTGTAAATTGTATCTTTGTTTAATTTGAATGTATTTAAATATAACGATAACATACATTTCACACATAAAACAAATCTCAAACAATAAATTCCCAAACCATTGTCAAAAAACATTTCTCTAAATTCATCTAACCTGAATATTATGACGACAGAGGACGCTAGTAGTCAAGATGAATTAAGAACACTGAATAAAGAGCTGTTTAGTCTTAAATATATTTGATTTATACCAGAACTGCAAGCATTGAACAATCCTGGTTTTGTGAAGATGTTAAAACTCTATCTAAAAAATTTTCTGGACTGTAAGCAGTACAGGTTGAGTTATATTTAGAATTGATTTTAGATATTTTTCGTGCTACAAGGTAAATCATCACATGAAATATGTCAAGCCATGAACACAAATATAAGATATTGATCAACAGTGAGAAATAAAATAATGTGCTTTACATATAGAATTTGATTAACAATAATATCCTTATAGATGACAAATATTTATCTAACCCACTATGAGTTTGATAAAAACCTGAATGAACAAGCCAACAGTGAGGCTGATGTCCCCCGCCGAAATCCCAAAATAAATAGATGACACATTAACTAATCACACATTTTTTTTCTTCAAAAGTATCAAGCAATCAAACTGATTATCAACTATACAGTAAGTTTCATCACTCTCTATCAGATAGAATTAAAGTTATCTTGTCCCAAAGCATCAACCAATGAAATTGCTTAGCTCTGCTTAGGTTTAGTTCGAAATGTTAATCATTGAACTCGGTCAAGACATTCACCTAATGAACATCTACATCAAGTTTAAACATTCTACCTCAATTAAAAGCAGAGTTGCCATGTTCAAAAGTCTTGACCAATCAAATTGCGTATTGCTCCTTAGCCTAAGCAGAAAATTCTCATCATTAAACTTAGTCAAGGAAATGATATAATGAATCTATACTCGGAGCTTCATCACTCTCACTTAATTAAAACCAAAGTTTTAGTGTCCCAAAGCATCAACCAATCAGATTGCTTATCTCTGCTAACCGTAAGCAGACAAGGTTTATCATCAAAATCCATCAAGGCATTCACTTAATGAACGCCTACACCAAGTTTGAACATTCTACCTCAATTAGAAGGCGAGTTATTGTGTTCCGAAGTCTCGGCAAATCAAATTGCTTATCGCTCAACTTACCCAGAGCAGAAAATGCTCATTATCGAACTTATTCAAGGTATTGATGTAATAAAGCTATACACCAGGTGTCCTCACTCTCACTTAATTAGAACTAAAGTTATCGTGTACCAAATCATCAACCAATCAAATTGCTTATCTCAGCTTACCCTAAGCAGAAAATTCTCAACTTCGAACTCCAAGTTTGAACATTCTAGCTCAATTAGGAGAAGAATTATTGTGTCCAAAAAAGTGTGACAGACAGACAGACGGATGAACCCATTTTAATACAGATCCAAATGGAGAGAAAAAACACATCAAATTGTCTAGCATGGTATAATGGAAACCTATCAAGCTGAGGGTGTTGAATTGCTAAAATTCTGTTAAAATATATTTAGGAAAATTTATTAAAGATATTGTAAATAATATTCTAAGAAAACAAATAACAAATTTGTGAATACAGTTCGCCATTTATATAACTGTAAATATTATTAGAGATGGAATGTTACTATGGATACACAAATAACTGATATCAAAACAATCAGTGCTTATCACCTTGGATTAATTAGAATATGTTAATTAATGATAAAAAATACAACATAGAGCCTGAGATCAATATTATTATATTATGTCAATATGTCAGTTTCATATTGTCATAAATCAAATACAATCCATACATGTATATTTATTGCAATAAACCTTATTTAAAGCCAGAGGACAGATATTTTCTTTTTTACATCCTATAATACTTGTGTTATTTAAAAGAAACAAAGGATCATACATCATCTAAAGTTAAGGTCTCTTAAGGCAAAATTATAGTTTTGAATAATTCTAATAATAAACTTCCCTTGAATTTAGTAAATTATAGTTTTGACTAATTCTAATAATTTAGTATTATGATTTAATACTGATGTCCTTACTAGCTTTAAATCCAATCAAAATATATGGGGATAATAATTAACAAGGTAGATTTGTTTTCAGAGGAATGGTTGTTTGGAAAGGAAATAATTATAACCGGAATATTTATCTATAAATAGCAATGTGTGATTACAACCAAGCTCTATAATGAATGCGAATGTATATTTGATATTTGATTAAAATGATATGATAACGGAGACATTTTAAGAAATTTATATTTTGTAGTGGGGGTGTTGAACTCAAGCACCAAGTTGCAAGTATATAATAGAGGGTGACAGCATATAATATAATATGTACTTTTCAAGGAAATAAATTATTTTGTCTGTACATTCTGAAGTGAAACATTCATTAAGAAGAAATGAAATATTTAATAACCTTTTTCTACTGTCTATAATTATATATTTGGAAATTGGTCCCGTGTCTGCATGGTGCCTGTTATTGATATTAAAATGACAAATGAGTTGAATATTTTTTTTGAGACATTTTGACTAAGCAAAAATCTCAATATCTAAACTTTTATATGTATTGCTGGTTAATAAAACCAGGTTATACCAAACTGATCTTATTCAGTAGTTGAACTCTTAGATGCCATTTATATCTATTTTCAAAAAGTCATTATTGTTCCTTAAAAAAAAACAAAAAAACCCAACCCACATTTGAAACACTGATGGAAATGCAGACATATAAACTAACTTTGCTTTTAAGTAAAACTATCAAATTTACACCTAATATGAAATGGATATTAATTAGTGATTTCAATGACCAAACTACAAAATCTAAACATCTATATTTGCGTTATGAAAATAGTGTGAGCAAACTTGATATATTTTTAAATATTAAATTATATTGAGCCGTCTAGTTTCAAAGTGCTTAACCGTACATTGTTTAAAAGCATTATATAACATCTTGGGAATGGATTGTGTGGTAAGCACAATTATATTTACAGAGCTCTTTCTAATAGATTTCTGTGCAAAAGAAAGAAGAACTTTAGTGAAGAAAACAAAGTTTATATAAGTGCCTTTTGAACATATTCAAATCTACTCTTCATAGTTGAGGAGTCAATAATTTAAACTTTAATCAAAGATTAACTTACTAAAATATTTGAGCAGTTGTACAAAGCAGAAGCATGTTTAAGGCATGAAGGTTTCTATACGATCCACTTATTGTACTGTACAAATAATACAAACCAGCTACTGATAAGAACTGTTGGTCGATTAGGAGAACAGTCAGGTAATAACTATATTTACTGTAGTATACTTTTAGCATGTAGGTATTTATGAAAAATGCACCGAGAATGAAGAATATTTTAATTTGATAAAATGATATGTCTGTAATCAGAATGTTATACTCTGTTATTGGAATAAGTTCTGGCGATTCTAGAATACATTTTATAATTAAGAAAATAAATGTAAGTATGTAATTTAAGAGTTAACAATAATAGGGGTATTTGAATTGGTCTATTTACTAATATTTTTTAATTCGATTTTGGGATTGAAGCGAATACAAATAGATGGGACATGTTAAAATATACACAAAGCATTTGAATAGCTACAAACATAATAACCATTCTATCATTGCACAATTTACAACAACATTGTTTTTAACTATTTACAATTGTGTAATTACAACATTACAAAACATTCTTGACAACTGTGTCTATCATGTACCAATATTAGCCTTTGACATCCCATCATTTAGCACATGCATTAGCAATTTATTTACATTGTATATGTCTTATTCTCATCAAATTCTGAATTGCTTGTGGATAATTCTTAATCCAATCTAATCCTGGATAGTTTTTGGACAATTCTTAATCTATTCAAATCCTGGACAGTTTCTGAATAACTCTTTCAAATCCTGGAAAGCTTCTGAATAATTCTTAATCTACTTAAATCCTGGTTAGTGTCTGGGAAATAATTCCCCCCATCCCAAGGTGAAATCCTGGATTCTTTGCAGATAATTCTTATTCCCATAAAATCATGGATACTTTTTATTTTGGTCAAATGATGTCTAAATGCTGGCACCTGATAGTCTGAATCAATGTACATTTACATGTAGAATTAATACTAGCTTTACTGAATTCCACATAAATAATCAAATAACCATTTAGATTTAATTGTATGGGTTGTAAAATTGTTTGTGAATGATTATCAGAATTAACACTCTTTAAATCTCATTAACTCCAGCACATCTTGATAATGTTTAAATTTTGATTCTTATGTTGAAGTAAGGAAGAATAAAACAAAACAAAACACTCAAGTCTAACTATAGTAAAGTATGGATTCATCAGGTTACATATGTTAAGAACCGCAGGTATTAGAAAATTGTCACAGAACTGATAAAATATATACGATAAATAATGAAGATTAATGTTACAGAAATTTACACCCTTCTCTAAGCAAACCATAAAAAACTCCCCTCCATGTTTATTTCATGCAGAAGGTATTTAAAGCAGAAATATATATATATTTTACATTCCTGGGACAATTGGGACTTAGTTTATGGAGCAAAAAATTCTACCAACAGACACAGACATGCAGTTGTATTTGCTAGTCCAGATAAAGGTTTGCTTTATGTTATGGGGAGAGAGATAGAGAGAAATGGGATTTAATGTCCACTTGACACAAATTAGGTCATTTCGCGACTAACATATGGTTCAATTTATTCAATAAATCGCTTGTGTGTAGGGGTATTTAGCAGTGGGAGGAAACCAGAGGACCCAGAGAAAACCCTTGAGGTTTGACAGGCGACCCTACTCCTTGTCAAGTACAACCGGGGAATCGAAATCACGCCAGTTCACTCAATGACCGACCTTATGATTCAACACGTACGTACGCGCTAATCATTTGGCCTCCCAACCCCCCTTATGTTAAGGGACATGCTGCTTATACTGTAACGTTAAACTTTCTGGAGTGGGCTTTATTATGTTATTGTGAGATCAGTTACTGCATATAATCATTTAACAATATATTGTATACATTATGAAAAAAATATAAGCATAAAAACAAAATTTATGGATTTCATTGAATAATTTCTTAATAGATGACAAACATAATTATTTATACAATAAATTAAATAAATAAATGAAGTAAGAATATCTTTTAATTAAATTTACCCATGTTAATTTTTAATAACATTTATTACTGGTACATTTTCTATAATTAGATATGCAAAAGTTTCTTGTTTTTGATTCTCAATTCTGTGTGAGGTATACCAAAAATGATTCCTGACCTTTTGACCTGTAAATCTTTATTACCGAAGGTATATTTAGAGTAAAGCTTTACCAAATCTAAATTGGACTTTGAAACTGCAGTGAAATTGAGTTTTATGGGAAACTATGGCCAGTATATAAATGATATGTTGAATGTAATAAAATGAAATGACAGAGATAGATTTACCACCTGTCATTAGTTAAGCTTATAAGTAATTGATATAGAATGATATGCTGGTAAAAAGCTAGATTGTTCCACCATTATAAGCATAATCAGCTTTATTATGCATAATAAGTTTATCTTCTACAAAATAAAAACTGTCAGATCGAGTCTCGTATGGATGTTCAATCATATCTTTAACTGAAAAATAAATATAATTAATTTATTAAATTCTCCATCTATTCAGTACAATCTGACATTTCATAAAGTTTCATATTATCATTTTAACTTAAAGGCCTAATATACCAAAATAAATGTACTGATAACTACTTGCAAAGCCATCAAATACCAAAATAAATGTACTGATAACTACTTGCAAAGCCATCAAATACCAAAATAAATGTACTGATAACTATTGGTAAAGCCTTAAAATTCCCAAATAAAGATACAGTGTAGAGATTAATTAAGACCATTGGTTTCTACCGATTTACACCACCTTTTATATTTTATATTTCTTAGACAATTTATACTCTGATGCATATTAGTATTACAGACTTTGGTACTATACTTTTAAGATACAATAAAATCACTTACTTTCTTCTGGTGATAGTGTAGGAAATTCATAAATATGTTCCACTGTATTACGACTGTGTGGAATACAGAAACCAAACTCAAAATCAAAACATTTGAGCATTCTGTCTCGGAAATAATGTTTTTCAACCATTCTGAACTTTGTCACTGGCTTATCACCCACTATAAACTCCACTCTGTTGAACAGATAAATTAAAATTATGAACATAACTACATGTAGTACATGTACCAAATTTACATTTTGTTTTAAACATGAAATAACACCTGTACTATCCACATTTTACAATGGCTCATTTTAAACAATTAAGAATGAAGTAACAGTCATATTTTACATGGGTCATTTTATACAATTAAGAATTAAATAACATTTTACATGGGTCTTTTTGTATTTAATGAAATGGCATATCAATATAGGTCGTTTTGAGACGAACATCTGTTTATTTTTTGTTTAGGTTACACCGTGTAATTCCAAACAGGAGCATATCGCCCGGGTAGGATTTCAATCGTTCTTCTTTTGAGCTCTTTTGCATGCCAGTTTTTTAATATATTGAAGCACATAAATTGATTTATTACAGCCATTAGGAACAGCTTTTAGAACCAGAAAAACATTACAATCATAAAGACTAAAGTACATGATTTTGCCATGTTAGTGAAAATTGTGAATTGTTCCAATGTAAAGAGAGAAGTGTGGTTTAACAGCCACCTGACACAAACTAGGTCATTTCAGGACTAACATATGATTCAATTTTATATTTCAATAAGTTGTTTGTGCCTTTATACATGTATTAGCTGTGGGACAAAACTGGAGGAGCTGGAGAAAACTCCTGAGGTTGGACAGGTGACCCTATATATTGTCACGTACAAGAAGGGAATCAAAGCCGCACTCTTGACTCAATGACAGACCTCATGATCTGACATGCACATGTTCAACCATTCGACCACCCAATCCCTCTCTAATCAAGGTAAAGTAATTATAAAGAACGAATTACTTACGTTGCACCAACTGTTTTTAATCTAAGAAAGTGTGATGTGAATTGATATCGTACAAATCTTCCAGCATTAGGATCTCCATCATCTATACACTGATCTACATCACCATCTTCACCCTCTTCTAATAAAATACAATAGTATTGGTCTTAAACATACATTATGCAAGAGCTAAATCTGCCTATTGCAGGTCTTTCTTTAGGCCTGAAATGTTATCTAAATTATCAATTAGACATTAACTAACTTATCCAGACCATAATCAACTTTCATTCATGATTTAATCATGAAATGGATAATCGAGACTATGTTTTTTTATTGTACCGACTTTTGTAATGATGGTAGAAGCTAGGCCGAAAATTCAATCCCTAAATTCTCGGTTCAGAGTGGATCAATTTGACTGAAATTTTCAGCAAATTCCTTTCACATTATTTTGTTTTTAACTATTATTTATTATAGTGTGAACTGTCAGCTCTTTATCTAATCTCCCATAAATTATCTTTAAAGATACATAATTAGTTAAAGGTTTAATAAAGAGTTGCTCATTCTTGCAATAATAATTCAAAAATAGATGATAACAAGCCAACAGTGAGGCTGATGTCCCCCGCCGAAATCCCAAAATATATAGATGACACATATTAATTAAACACACATTTATCTTTTTCAAAAGTATCGAGCAATCAAACTGTAAACTAAATTTAATCACTCTCTACATGTATCTGATAGAATCTAGATTATCTTGTCCCAAAGCATCGACCAATGAAATTGATTACAATGTTAGGGAGGTCAGTGAAGCAATAATATGGCCGTCATGCGCAGTTGAATGCCACTTATTTTTCCCAAATTTGGCCATGTTTAACCTGCGTGTATGAAATATTTACTGTTGAAATCTTTGAAATTTTTGTTGATTTTATAAGATTAAATTGTGTAAAATTGCACAAAAGTATTTTTTTTATCAGCCACTCTTGTTTCTGTTGGTAAATATTTGTTTCCGTAAAGGCCATTTTACACGATCCTACTTTTGTTTAAGAACATCATACATCATTTGTAGGATGATGTTCGCAGGAAAATGTCCTATCGTGTGTATGGGAATTTGAACAACTGTGAACAAGCTTGTACAAGCTTGAACATGTTGGATGGTGTTCGAGCATGCACATTAATTTGAACATGGTAGGACAGTGTTCAAGGCCTTGAACCAATGAGAATGCTTCTCTGGGTCACGCGGTGTATTGGGTCACATGACAATCAGGCAAAATGGCAGCCTACATATCTCAAATCAAGACCACCATAAAACAAAATACAACCGGTAAAAAGAAGTAGACCTTTCAAGAAACCACTTATTTGATTCAGATCTATGAAGAGAATCATTTTCTCTACAATACAAACATTGAGAGCTACAAAAAAACGGGATAAAAAGAGCAAAGCTCTTTATGATATTGCAGCTGTTTTTTCTACAACAGGTAAGTCATGTATACTGCAGGGCTGGGGCCATTACAATGTCAATGTAATTAAATAAATTACCATTACGATTACAAATGTAATCAATTACTTTCTCATTTTTAGCAATGTAATTAATTACCATTACATTGAAAGTAATTAATTACCATTACCCATTACTTTTTGACTATATAAAGAAAAACCTTTTTAACAGACATTAAAGAGACAACCTCATTTTTTTCTACCATGAAGCACCAAGAAAATTGGGCTCAAAATAATCGTCGATTCACAATAATAGATTTTTCTGTTTGAATTGTTATTTCTATAAAATATCACGAGGCAAAAATAAAGTTTAACCAGCGGCTGCCAGGCAGGATACGCCCACATTTTCGAGAGATGGATAACAAGAAAGTGATTTTTCCTACTATCAAGGGCCATACATGTAATTCAGGAAATTACAATTCGATATGCGCGAATATCGAAAGGAACCAAGATCTTTGGTTATAAACTTACATTTCAAGTTTCAACAAAATCGGATAAAAATTGTGACCTCTACAGGGCCCACAACCTTGATATACCATATTTTTACGCTATTTGAGAACGAACGGCGGCCATTTTGTCTGTCAATTTTGGGCCGATTTTCACGAAATTCGAACTCAACCTTCCTTAGGGTGTAACGGTGATATAATAATACGGTTTTTCAAATCGGATAAAAATTATGACCTCTATAGGGTCCACAAGCTAAAAACGCGATTTTGCGTACAATCAGGGGCCATAATTCAGGAAGTTACGGTCTGATATGCGCAAATATCGAAAGGAACCGAGATCTTTGGGTTATAAACTTACATTTCAAGTTTCAACAAAATCGGATAAAAATTGTGACCTCTATAGGGTCCACAACCTTGATATACCATATTTTTACGCTATTTGAGAACGAACGACGGCCATTTTGTCTGTCAATTTTGGACCGATTTTCACGAAATTCGAACTCAGCCATCCTTAGGGTGTAACGGTGATATAATAATACGGTTTTTTAAATCGGATAAAAATTATGACCTTTATAGGGTCCACTAGCTAAAAACGCGATTTTTCGCACAATCAGGGGCCATAATTCAGAAAGTTACGGTCCGATATGCGCGAATATCGAAAGGAACCGAGATCTTTAGGTTATAAACTTACATTTCAAGTTTCAAATAAATCAGATAAAAATTGTGACCTCTATAGGGTCCACAAGCTAAAAACGTGATTTTTCGTACAATCAGGGGCCATAATCCATGAAGTTTCGATCCGATACATGCCAATATCGAAAGCAGCCGAGATCTTTTGGGGATAAACCTATATTTCAAGTTTCATCAAAATCGGATAAGAATTGTGACCTGTAGAGAGTCCACAAACAATTGTGGACGGACGGGTGTAACGGTGATATAATAATACGGTTTTTCAAATCGGATAAAAATTATGACCTCTATAGGGTCCACAAGCTAAAAACGCGATTTTGCGTACAATCAGGGGCCATAATTCAGGAAGTTACGGTCTGATATGCGCAAATATCGAAAGGAACCGAGATCTTTGGGTTATAAACTTACATTTCAAGTTTCAACAAAATCGGATAAAAATTGTGACCTCTATAGGGTCCACAACCTTGATATACCATATTTTTACGCTATTTGAGAACGAACGACGGCCATTTTGTCTGTCAATTTTGGGCCGATTTTCACGAAATTCGAACTCAGCCATCCTTAGGGTGTAACGGTGATATAATAATACGGTTTTTTAAATCGGATAAAAATTATGACCTTTATAGGGTCCACTAGCTAAAAACGCGATTTTTCGCACAATCAGGAGCCATAATTCAGAAAGTTACGGTCCGATATGCGCGAATATCAAAAGGAACCGAGATCTTTAGGTTATAAACTTACATTTCAAGTTTCAAATAAATCAGATAAAAATTGTGACCTCTATAGGGTCCACAAGCTAAAAACGTGATTTTTCGTACAATCAGGGGCCATAATCCATGAAGTTTCGATCCGATACATGCCAATATCGAAAGCAGCCGAGATCTTTTGGGGATAAACCTATATTTCAAGTTTCATCAAAATCGGATAAGAATTGTGACCTGTAGAGAGTCCACAAACAATTGTGGACGGACGGACGGACGGACAGGGGCGACGGCATAATACGTCAAAATCAGATAAGAATTGTGACCTGTAGAGAGTCCACAAACAATTGTGGACGGACGGACGGACAGTGGCGACGGCATAATACGTCCACATGAAAATGTGGGCGTATAAAAAGAGGGGCAGGTGACAAAAACTGTTGTTATAACTGTAACTACATTTTATTTCAAGTAATTTGATAAAAGTCTTAATCAATCCACAATAATAATTTTTTCGTCAATCGTCATTTTTATAAAATATTACATCAAGGGCGGTGGTGACAAAAACTGTTGCTGTAACTGTAACTACATTTAATTTCAAGTAATTGGATAAAATTTGTAATTAATATAAATAGTTTGTCAATAAACAATGTATGACTGGGAAATTATTCAGCATGACTTTAAAACAAAATTGAACATTTTTTTCTATATAAAGTAACCAATAACATAAAATGATGAGATACTTGAAGGCCATTAGAATTTACTGTTTGGTTTGACACTTGTCCCCTTGAGATTAAGATTAACATATAATGGGGCAATCTAATTGTCTTTTAAATCTAACTGATTGATTGATTGATTGCTTCAATGAAAACCAACCTTCTGTGGGAATCCATGATGGAACAGTGAGGTTTCCCTCCAAAATCCATAAAACATTCATCAACAATCTTGAACATGTTTACTAAATGCTGTATGGTGTAAATTGACATGTTCATGGATGCCTCATGACCTTGAACATCATCCTACAAATATTGGATGATGTTCTTGAACAAAAGTAGGATCGTGTAAAATGGCCTTAAGTGTGGTCACTATCACGAATTACGTATCAAACTAAAGGGAATTCCCTGAGGAATACTGGGATGTTGCTGAAAATAGAATTTTCTAGAGTTACGTGACCCAATTGACCGATTATTTGAAGAAAATGCAATTTTTCTGTATGGAATTCCCAATAAATGTATTTTTCCTTGTATGAAATTTCAAAAAATGATAAATCAACGCCCATGAATAAACAATAAACCGTTCTTCTCCATGATCATGTCAGAATAATGTAATATAATACTTGGGAACCAATGTAAAAATTCAATTTAAATGACCTTTCCATGAATTCTTCCGCTTTGCAAAAACCAATATGGCGGACGCGTCGATGACAACGGCAAATGATGGAACCAAAATTGGTTGATAGGAACATACTAAAGTTTTGTTCTTTGATAAACCAAGAAATATCATCGCTTATAAAGACAGTTTACTTGAAGGTTGGTCAGTAATGCTTAAAATATGATGATCTTTGTAAAAAAAGCCGAAGTTTTTCAGTTAGAAAATGAGCGTGGTTATAGAAGAAAGAAGAAGAAACTTTATTGCATAAAACAACCTTAAGGTTATGTGCATTATATATAAATAAACAGTATAAACAATTACACACGACAAACAAGGCACACAATTTTATATACCGGTATAGCCTATATAGGCCCAACCAAGAATAGTATCCATAAATTATGCAATAAAGCACTCAAGATATTGAAAATAATTATTTACAAAGCTCAAACACCTAGTTTTTAATATTTGAGATTATTAAAGTATGTTGACAATTTTATATAAAGCATACATGTGCAAGTCATAAAGAAAGCAAGCCACAAATTTTATCATAAATTAGCATAAAATATGCAAATTAGCTTACTTAAAAAAAATATTCATGATTTTAATTTAAGTCCATGTGTTTGAAAATTGATGTACTAAGAAGCCTTAACTTAATAGTTTTTTTTTTAAATGAATAAAACAATGAACAATATACAGTTCTGATATTGCATGATATTAAATAGAATATACAAATTAGGTAAGTTAATTTGCATATAACCGTATATTATTTTCCATTGTTTTACTTAAAATTCACCCTGATACTTTGAAATGGACATCAAAACCTTATTTCTCCACTTATTTGATGACAAATGTCCATCTTTATAGAAACATTGAAAAAATTAAGACCATTACGCATAATTTATGCAAATTAGCTCATTATGTATGCACATAATTTAACTAAATTTATATTCATTATCGTCATGGATACTTGTGCGACCAATGTTCCAAATTATATTGCGATCATATCAATAATAAGAAAGTTATGAATAAAAATGCATTAAAAGTTGATTAATATTGCATTGAAAAGGGTATTGTCACCGTGGTAATTCTCCCTTTACTTTACTATTGACTCTGCATGGACATATTCCAAAAATGTTGAAAAAATGGCCGATTAGTTTTGCTGTGAATCGAAAAATACTGAACGGATTTCAATATTTTTTTTCGTTGAAATGTTCAAGTAAATGAGAACAAAATGACTAACACAATCATTTTCATTATAATTAAAGTCAAAATTTATCTTGACCTCCCTAACAATGTAGCTCTGCTTAGCTTCAGCTCGAAATGTTAATCATTGAACTCTGTCAAGACATCTACATCAAGTTTAACCATTCTACCTCAATTAAAAGCAGAGTTGTTATGTTCCAAAGTCTTGACCAATCAAATTGCTTATCACTCTCCGCCTAAACAGAAAATTCTCACCATGATATAATGAATCTATATTCCAAGTTCCATCGCTCTCACTTCATTATAACTAAAGTTATCGTGCCCTAAAGCATCAACCAATCAGATTGCTTATCTCTGCTTGCCGTAAGCAGACAATATTCATCATCGAACTCCATCAAGGCATTCACTTAATGAACGCCTACACCAAGTTTGCACATTCTACCTCAATTAGAAAAAGAGTTATTGTGTTCCAAAGTCTTGGCCAATCAAATTGCTTATAGCTCTGCTTACCCTGAGCAGATAATGGTCATTATCGAACTTAGTCCAGGTATTGATGTAATGAAACTATACACCAAGTTTCATCACCCTCACTTAATTAGAACTAAAGTTATCGTGTCCCAAAGCATCAACCAATCAAATTGCTTATCTCTGCTTACCAGAAGCAGAAAATGCTCATCTTCAAACTCCATCAAGGCACTGACCTAATAAACACCTACACCAAGTTTGAACATTCTAGCTCAATTAGAAAGAGTTATTGTGTCCCAAAAAGTCAGACGGACAGACAGACAGACGGACGGACAATACACCTTATAAAAATACAATATACTCAGTATGTCTTAAAATAAATAAAATCCAACACTGATGAATTAACTCCTTACTGAAAGTGAAAGTAAAGCCGACAGTTGGAAGAATCCCTTTACAGTGCACTGCAGTCAAGATCATATTTCAGTTATTCAGTTGGGGAGCAAATTAAAATATAAATGAAATATATGGTACAATTTACCCAGGCAACAAACTTGACAAGACTGTATTACGAGACAAAAAGTTTTATTCCAGGGTGCTTTGATAGGGCTTGCTCCCAAAACGTAAACTGGAATAAAAATTCTCTTCTTCTAATACAGTCTCGCCAAATTACCTAGATACTTCATCATAAAATACTTACATGTAGGTTATCTAGATTCAAATTTGTTGACCAATATTTGAATCTAGATACATGTAACTCTAATTACAATGTACATTTGAAAAAGAATCTGCATTATTTATACATATGTAGCAAATTTGTTTTTGTTGTACTTTTTAAAATTTCATCTTGTGAGTTCAATCCCATACAACAAATATGTACAAATTATTTGTACAAAGATTTAAGTTTCACATTGAAATCATCCTCAGAATTTTTTGCATTTGCATCAATTATACACACTCATCTGTAATTCTATAAAACAACATTTTAAGTTGCATTTCTTCAAACGAATTAATTTTACTGAGGGCTATTGAGCTTTTATTCTCCATAACTCTCCAACTCTAATGGCCTAATGATATTTGACACTAAAATTAAATGAAAAACCAGTAAATACCTGAGGGTGGTGGTTTAGCGACTTCAAACAACACTGTTCCTGTGTCTAAATCTCGTAATTTAAACCGTGTAAAATCTATACCATATACATTAGCTTCTGTTGGACATAGATATTCTGAAAAATACATACCAACAAAAATATTAAATTTATCCTACAAAGTAGCAATAGTTACATATACATGTAGGTTCAATGTATTAGGCCCTAATCAATGTATTCAACCTCACAAAAAAAAAAAATTCTTCTCCAATCTTAATGTTGAATTACATTCTATTAAGTGCCACATGAATACATTTTCTGGCTAGGGCTATCATTCTCAGCAAATGGTAATGGCTCTTTTCAAATTAACAGGATTTTATAATCTCAATTCCAAGTAGCAGGTAGAGGGGTTCACATAAGAGTCCTACACAGATGACCAGACTTAATAACATCATATTGTGCCATGTTGACTACACATGTTCTTTCTCTCTTTACCACTATATTTGAACTCATCATGTGAAAGTCTTGACTTTTGTAAAGAGTCAAAATGGTGTCCTGAAGTCAGTAAACTTTATTAAATATTTTTTTTCAATTTGAACTACATGTCACATACTAGAGCACTGACAAATTAAATTTGCACAGATACAAAATGGCTACAAACAGTACCGAAGGCAAAATTATAGAAACCAAGATGACCAAGGAGTAAAGAGAACACGGTTACTACATGTGTGTACATGTATACTATTAAAGTAGCTAAGTCTCTAACTCAGTATCATCCAAAATTTTCGACACTGAAAACACAAATTATTTGTCAATTTAAATCAACATTGATGTTGTGATCTTACCGGTAAAAGATGGGCTTCTGATATCCAATATTTAAGACAAAATAAACATTTTGCATTTGGTACACGAATCGTGTACCACAATACGTTTCAGTGCCATTTGTAACAATGGATTCGAAAAACGAGGCTAGACATACCCCACAAGTCATGTCAAACAGTGACACCATATCTTATCTGAAGAGCATGCGCAATAAATACTATCGGTGTAGATTGGAATAACCAGACCCTAAAGATTGCCATTTGATTGAGGCTTCTGGCGTATTTTGCGGAACATAAATGATTTGAAATTAGGTTAAAAATATTAGCAATTTAGCTCCTTTAAGTATTAATAATAACAATCATCTACATTGTAACTACATAGAAAACAAGATGATCAAGGACTATAGAGAATGTGGTTATTACAGGTGTGTACATGTATTAATAATAACCGTCATCTACATTGTAACATGTCAGGTGTAAATACATGTATACAGTGTATGTAATTAACAACAATGTATCTTACATAATTCATTATCATCTATACATCTAAAATATTTAATAGACTGTAATGTCCAAGCTGTCCATGATATAGTGTGATGGATAGGATGCAAGACTAGAGTGCAATACATGTACATCTCTAACCTCATCATCTCCATCTCAAAAACTCTGTTGATTTGTAACTCAGAATTTTCTCTTTAATACAATCCCCAAAAAAACAACCCTTAATTGACCATATTGAGACTAACAATAACATAATAATTTCTATAGTTATGTGTACGTGTACAATAAATGAGGGGAGAACTCTGTCTGGTTGCAGTGTTTCTGACAACTCTTCTTAGCATTCCAACTGTCAATCATTTTTTATGTGCACTACCAGTTTACAAATGTATGTAGTGGACCTCAGTCTGTCCGAAAAAAACTCAAGATTTTATTTTTATTGAAGACTTTAGTGGGTTTGGGAACAAAATGGGTGAAAAATTGATTTGAACTTCAATCGGGTTCCTCTTTATAACTTTAAACTACATGTAGGCTTATAATCCCCGCAACTATAGAAAAATGTCACAAGTATTTACAAGAACTTAACTATTACTGTGACGGAAGTGCAGACAGGTACATGTAATCACAATAATCTTACAATCTGAATAAGCTTACCATACCATCAAATCTACATGTAAGTGTATAAAAATTAAGTTATATATGTACCTGACCTAGAAAAGCAATAAATTACAATGTAATTTACATACATGTACAAGCATACAGTTCGCAGATGCTCTACATGTACATGTACATAGAGGAAATATAATTGTATCAATATTTTCAGATTTTCAGATAAAGCAACACCAATTATTTTTACACAGAACTACTTGATCATAGTAATGAGGCGATTAGAACAACAAAATGTGGTGAAATGTCAACAGACAGTGGAAATCAATACATCACACAATATATCATACACTGTTGGACAGGGATGCCTGTATAGTACGACATCATACTTTAACAATAGAAATAATCTCAGCTCGAAAATAACAAAGCCTATTAGTAGATATAAGAAAATCCTAATTACTACAATGACGGTTGTAATCTGCATCACAATAACCTGTTAAGACTTAACTTAAATACAGATCTACCGTAGGGGCTAATCAGGACATGGACAGGGATGTGACATTTCATGCAAGGATTATATTTCTTTACCGCACCTAAATTAACATTACACTGCATAGATTTAGAATTAGATGTACATGTCATGTATGTACATTGTACACTGTGGCATTCATAATCATAGCTAGAGTATGTGTATTTACAGTGTGGCATTCAGAGTTAAATTATTGCACATTTACATGTAGATGTAACTGTAAGTACATTGTAAACTGTAGTCAGATGTATGTAAAATGTAGCATTTAGTATAAGATTAGGTACACTGTACCATTTAGAGTTTGATGTACACTGTACATTAGCATTTAGAGTTTGATGTACATTGTACACTAGCATTTAGAGTTAAATGCATATACACATCATATACTGTAGCATTGATTTAGTGTAATAGATGTACGTAGACCTACATGTTACTCATACGCTGTGGCATTCAGAGTTAATGCTATGGACAGACGAGCGTATTTTTCTGCCCGATCTCGGCGATTGAAATTCGCCAGCGATTTTCTACGGCCGATAACGAACGGGCACACGTAGCGATCGTCTCGAGAGCGTACGCCACTCTGTGAGTAATTATGTCAATCACGTGACTTGTCGATCAAGTGACTTGTACAAAAAGGCAGCTATTTTGAAATCATGTGATATCAAAGATGTCGATAATTGGCCTAAAAAATGAATTGCCCGATATTATATGCTCGACACGGGCACACGAGCGAATTTAATCGCAGGCGAAAAATATTCGGCCGGAAATATCCAACATGCTAGATACGAGCTCTCGATTGATCGGGCCAATAGTTCGCCGAGCAGAATCATCGTCGCCTTGAAGGGGCACACAGGCGTATTTTTCGAGCGATTTTAAAATTCGCCGCGATCGGGCGAAAAAATACGCTCGTCTGTCCCCCACTTAAGATCTACATGACTACATCTATGTGCAATGTATACTGTGCCGTTCAGAGTTAGTATCAATTAGATCTATGTACAATGTACACTGCAGCATTTGGATACTGCAACTTCTGTATGCACATCATACACTGTAGCTTCTAGAGTTACATGCAGAAGTATGTACATTGTACATCATACACACTGTGTCTAGAATGATGATCTGATCAGTATAGGAATCATGATTACTAACAGTACGAGATCAGAGTTAAAAGATTTTAAATTTGATAAGAAGTAAAATAAGAAAAAAAGCTATATTGAAAATGGATCTGGATGATTCATAAACAGCCTTTGACAGATCAAAAACATTATATCAAAGGATAAGCAATAAAAAGGAAGTTTTGAACAAACAGCTCTAGTCTTAGTGTCATTTTTTAAAAAAAATATCTTTATATATCGTCTTTCCATATCAAAGACGAAATATTTAAACAATAAGTCTAAATGTACATATAAAAGCTTTCATATATCAAACAATCTCCATTTTGTTTGGTGTTTTGATTTGGTATATGACAAGCTCAATCATAAAAAGAAGATTCGATTTCAATAAGATTTTTTTCACCAATTTACTAGTGAGTTATTTTCAAAAGCAAGACTCAAGTTAAATATTAATATTAGTAATTTGTTTTGAAATTTGAAGCAAATACTACATGTGATCTTTGAACAGCAGGAAAACAGTGGGTTGGGTTACCCTTCAGTGAAAATAGACTATGAATAATCTTCGAAAAATGCAGTGACCCATCAAATCGAAATGGATAGTATTAGTAAGTAGCATTTTGGTCATATTGAGTTATACACATAATCACATTTCCTTGGGCTACAGGCTTCATTTTGGCACCATTTTGATGGGTGAGATATCACCAAAAACACCCAGGCCAATTGGAGAGAATTTCAAAGACAGATTTTGAGAAAACATACGCCCACAGCAACTAAATCATCTGAGCAGTCGACAAGGGTTGTTGCATATTTATTCCTTTGTAGGTACACTGTAATTGGGGGCCTTTACAAGACAGTTCCATATGGATCAGATTATATTTTTTGTCGTTTGAAGGTACACAAGGTTCTACAAACTGAAACAAGGGTCTCAACTCTGGAAGTAATCTACAGAAATTGTTGAAATTTGACAGGCTTTTTCGTTTTACTAATGCATATAAATTTCATACAGATCAGATGATTACTTTTGTCATTCAAACGTTCACAATCACCATAACTATAACTCTAGAATTTATTGACGGAAATTGCTGAAATTCAATAGACCCCCGTTTCACAAATGTAAATGATGCATATAAATTTCATACATATCGGATGATAACTTACATCAATCGAGCATTAACAAGGTTGAACAAAGTGAAATGAAATGTTGTTTAAGGGCACATCAGCTCCAACCGGGCTATATTGCGCCAAACATATGGTGATTTATGCGAGACAAGTTAAATAAATATCACAGATAAAGTTTTATATGCATAAATAAAAACAATATCACAGTAACTAAAATTAAAGAAAGGTTGCCAGGCAACGAAACATACACCCACAGCAGCTAAATCGTCCGGACAGTCAACAAGAGTTGTCGCATATTCTTACTTTTTTCGGTAATGAAACATTTATAATACACTAAAATCTGATTAAGAGCAACAACTCATGTGTAATTAACAGAAAACCATTAGAATTTGTTTGGTTTTTATAAAGTTCTGCCCCATGCTAACGTTTTGTATACCAAACTTTTAGTATCAT